ATTATGGTTTACGACATTAAAAGAATAACGGGATACGATCCCTCGACCAGGTCGGAAATCCGTACCTCTATGCGTTAGGCTATTGGCGATTGGTTCCTACCTGTGAAAAGGTCCCTTTATTAGTTAATGATTTACTCCACTAAGATATATTAATCCTTTGCAAAACAGAAAACATTATATTGAAATACTAATTACATATTTATGACCCCCTGGTACCAACGCTTGGTAAACATTCATAACAAATGGAATTTTTTGTCGCGCTAACTGTAGTATGTTATCAGACGTCGCAGCTCCGCATATCTAATCTAATCAGACAGTCTTTACATCGTTCATGTACTAGTTCTCGCTAAAGATCTCACTCTGGTATAGTGTCACGTATCTTTTATATTGTATACGTTTTATAAACATCTTACTTATAACACCTTACTGTAACGAAGTGGATTTGTAATTGTAAACGTCCGTCGCTGTTAAATATTAGTATGAAGTTTCTTTTTTCGATGCTATTGTGACAAGATAATATGATATCAATGTTTAATCAGAACAAGCGTGTTTAATATACTAGACCTAACTGGAGTTATATTATGTTTCAAGGTAAAATTATTGTAACGATTCTGTTTTATGTTTGTCGTTTAAAGGAATTTTATACTTGAGGAGGTTCTTGCATACACGTTTTTAAGAAACAAGCGAACCTGAACTGAATGATTGACCGAATGTCACAAATTCGTCTCGGTTATTATTTTTTAATACAACATACTAATAAATCTAGTATAAAACAAATGACAATGATGTTGCATTAGTAAAAATGACAATAGTCTATTGTTCTGGAATTGACATTTAAGTTAAACGGACAAAACGTATAGAAACTAGTTTTGTCATCAACACAACTCTGACAATAAAAGGTACCGTGTTAAGTACGCCTCGTATTCGTCGCGCGTCTCTACAAACAACGCACCATATTACCTTTTGTGTGCTCGTGCCTTTATCTTGCGATAAATATTCGAACCCCTGCGTCGAATTCAAACGCGGAGTCAACCGTCTCGCTCTAACCGAACCGTGAAAGTACTACAACTTTCTATATTAAAAGTCTAACACGAAGAGTTGTGTAATGGTTTTACACCTTTAATAACAGACTGAAATTATGCCACTGCAAGCATCGTCAAATGCATATTTAAAAAAAATACAAAAATGGACAGTGGTAAATTGTCTTTAGTATCCTATGTGGCGAATAGTAGAATTTACACAAACGATTATCATGCAAATAAAGATGTCGCGACTTGTGAAATCGAGTTGCGTGGAAATATTCTCCTTTTAAGGCCAAGAAGCGGAGTTAGAGGACAATTATTTACTGCAAGGGCATCACGTATCTACGGTCCCTGTACTAAGTAGTCCTGAATTGAGCTCTGTACTGAGATCAAATGTTTAAACGAGATCACGTGTTCGCGGAGTCATGACGCGTTGGCAGATGGACAATGCGCAGATAAAATTTCACTAGAACAAAGCATCGCTTACATCGGCATCGCAGCACACTTTACTAATTAATTAGTAACACTAAATTGAAAATAGATTAGTCTACGAGTCTTTACTGAATATGCGAGTTGTATGTTACAATGTTAAAGAGAAATAAATGATAATCAGCATAAGCTGGATATGTCAAGAATATTTACAGAATGTTTTGTTTTCATTTTGCTTTGCTTATCTATCTAAATATATGTGAAAGAGCGAACAGAAATTGGAATAATTTGGGCATAATGAAGAAATATTATTGCATCGTGAAAATTTGTAAACAATAAAGATCATTCGTTTACTTTACTGCCATAAGCTTTTGTGTAATTACAACACGTGCGTCATCTGCATGCTTTTACGTGCAGTGGTTGTACTAGTTTCTAATACTTTGTTTTCTTTTTAAACTGTTTACCTATTGTTTATACGTGGCGTCACGTTATAAAAGAAGAAAATTTGAAAACATCATTGTTCAGAACTGTTATTACGAAATAACGGTCAAGTTTCGTAAAATTATGAAACATTTGCTAATTGTACGTATTCGGAGGTATAAATTGTTATTTTTTCTCTTTCCAGAGTTCGCTACGACATGGGGGCGAGGTCCCGGGAGTTGCTGCTTCTCCTGGCGGCGTGCACGCTGGCCGCCAGCGAGACCATTAACAAAACGGCCATAAGAGCCGAGATGGCCACCGACACTATTTTCCAGTATGAGGACTACGACTCCGCCGAAGAACAGGAAGTGTTGTTCAACGAAGACAGGCCCTGCCCCAGAGATTGCATATGCACTGTATCCCAAGGATACAGGATAGCCAAGTGTAACCGTCTTGAAATCGGCACGCAGAAGTTCGGCGACGACATCACCGATCTTGTGATTGAGAACGCCGATCCCACGTTTCCCATTAATCTTGACGATCTCATCTTCAAGAAACTCGGTCTCCATCAAATTGCCACCATAAAGATTGTCAACAGCACTATCGGATACGTGGGTCCCAATGCGTTCCACGGCCTGCACGAGCTGTACGCGGTCAATCTGTCCAATAACAAACTAAAAATTTTACACCCGGAAACCTTCGCAAACAACAAAAAGTTATTATTGTTAACGCTTTCCAACAACCAACTAAAATTCCCTGAAGCGGGTTCTAATGACTATTTTCTTAACGCATCTTCTGTTCAAGAACTTGATGTTTCATACTGCAACATGAAATATATTACCGATAATACATTCAAAAACATGCCTGGCCTCATGTACCTAAATGTAGCTGGTAACAAACTCTCCGACATGGACGCGAACACTTTCAAAAAGCTACTCGACTTGGAGGAGCTCGATTTAAGTGACAACAACATCAAATCTCTTCCTGAGGACATATTCTCCGAAAATACGGAGCTGGCAACGCTCCATATTCAAAGGAACCCTATCGCCTCAGTCTACGGTCTACAGATTTCAGATCTACTAACTCTGAACGCAGGCCAGACCAATATTAAATTTATTGGGCCCTCGATGTTTAACGGTATGACTTATATAGCAAATCTTAATTTAAGCGGAAACAGTATTGAGAAAATTCATAACCAAGCATTCCACAAGCTCGTTGAACTTAATTACTTGGACCTCTCTTACAACGATTTGGACTTCATTTCTGGATATCTTATTAAAGAAAACATTGAGCTTGACATATTTAAAATTTCAAACAACCCCAGATTAAAACATTTGCCTGCGGAAGGTTTCAATTGCTCCGCAGAACAGTTTAACATATATCTGTTTGATGCCTCCAACTGTGGACTTGAAGAAATTGAAAATGACTCGTTAAAGACATTCACGGCTTTATCACAGATTAATCTCTCCAGTAACAACATTAAATCTATTAGCACGGAAGTATTTTCGCGATGCCCAAGACTAGTGGATATAAACCTCGCTTACAATAAATTAACCACTTTAGAGGTTAAAGTTTTTGAGAAAAACAAGGATCTTGGAAAGCTTAATCTTCAAGGTAATCCACTGAAAGTTCTATCAGCCGAAATCTTTGTTTTCACACCAATTTTGACTACACTCGATATGAGCCACGCCGAGTTAACCTCTCTATGGAGAATGGAAAAGAACCTTCCTACGACGCTGCTCAATAACTTGAGCTTCCTGAACGTTTCACACAATCGCATCACCGAGATCAAACAGACTGAACTGGACAATTTGAATAAACTACGCACACTAGACATCGGCAATAATCCTCTTGCTTGCAGCCGCGATTTTGAGAACTTAATGACTTGGCTCAGTAACCGTAAAGTGTCACCCAACGCTAACTCTGCAAATGTTGCCAACTTGGCTAAAGACGCCAAGGAAGAGGACGGTACTTACAGCTGGGAGTTCCTTACAAAGAAAACTTGCGGAACCGCAATACCTCGTCCCGTCGAACCCCTGCCGCCTGTCTCTGACGAAGAAATATGGGAAAGAATCGACAAAGACGCCGAAGGAAACTTCGATTTGAAAGACACCCTCGACGACGGAAAGCTTGCCGACGACATCGCTGTCAACGACGATAACGCCAAAGAGAACGCGGACGACGACAGCAACGATGCCGATGACGAGGCCGACGACGAGGGAGATGACGAGGACGAGGAGGAGGATGAATCCGGCGAAGACTACGACGACGATGTCGACCTCAAGGTGAAACTTATCGAGAAGCCAGCGGCTACACCCAGCACGTACAAACCGGTGTCCACTGAACAGACACAGACCGAGAAAATTAAGATCGACATCAAACTGCTCGAAAACGACAACATGTACGACGATCTCGAGCCCGATGTAGAGGTGCAGCCGTACGGTGCAGAGGAGCACGGCCGCTACGGCTACTTGTGGCCCATCCTGATAGCCGTGCTGGGCGCGCTGCTGTTGCTGATCATCATCGCCAAGATGGTCATGATGATGTGCAGCAAGAAGAGCAAGCAGATCCGATACAACAGTGCCATAATTGCGGCGATGAGCCACCCCGGCCGCACTAAGAAGGACTGCGGGCTGGTGTACCAGCAGCTGACGGAGGACCTGACGGGCCCGAAGACGCCCAAGCTGAGCCGCTACGCGCCGCTGCACAACGTCACCGTCAACGCCGCCAACATGTCGTATGAGAGCAGTCCCTTCCACCACAGCAACATCGTACCCGAAGCGGTCTGAGCCTCGGTAAAAACTAATATTACAGTAAATACAATAAAATTAACCACTGCGTTAACTTTAAAATAAGCAGTAAGTGATAGATGTAAGCGCTAGTCACGAACGGATGCATATCTAACGAGTGAGCATATTTTGAGTGCCTTCTGTACTCTTCGATAGTTCTCGAACAATGTCACGGCAAACTTTTCTTTTAACCTAGCGCTTTTCTTATTTGATAATAATGAAGAAAGTAACAAATGAAGTCAAATTAAAACAAATTAATTTAAGATATACATAATTATATATTATACAAATTAGTTGATAGGTTCATTTTATGTACTTAAAATTATTAAAAACTACACTCTAAATTGTGAATTCTTTTATTAAAGTTTTAGCATATAAGATAAACATTTTCGAATACCAAGTTTCCTTTTGTATAAATAATTAGTAGAGTGTCAGCGAATCTTCGAGAATTTTTGATAAATCGTCTTCTGATTGTGGGATCGGAGCGATCTTTAGCAAACGATGCTGAAAAGAAAAGAAAAACTACTTCGAGTTACCTACATTTATTAGGGTGTTTTTTATGGATATTTCGGACCATAAATTTACGTAGGTTTTAGGGGGTAAAAATTGGATTTTTTAATCATAAGAGCAGTTTCATAAATTAATATACAATATTTGAAACATACGTGTAACCGCTGCTATAGGTTACTTATACAAACCAATAATTGTGATCACATGTTTTTAAATCTAAAATCGTATCGATTTAGCTACAATTACCTATTTTTACGAAGCATTGTTTTGAGCTAAAATTACTAGTTTTGGGTAATTTTTACAATTATTGAATAGTTTGTAAGTGTCTAAATTGCAATAAAAATAATGATTAGAATGTTACATATTTGATATATTTAATGCTGTAGTATTATTTTAATAAAAAGTAAATTTAATGACAAATGGTTTTTGAATATAGCTAAGAATATTATGTTTATGATATTTATGTGGTGGGATGACTATTTAATTCTTTCTAAACTGATGATAAATGAAGTCTTCGTACAAATCTAAACACTTTTATGTTAAAAGGTTATACAAACAAGTACACAAAAAATGGCAACTTTGGAAGTAAAAAGAGAAAACGGGATGTCTCAAATTACCTGCGGTAAAGCTCCCTTCACTAGCTGCGGTATATCTTGTGCGGAGTACCCGATCGCGTTCAAGCCATTCTCCACTTTCATTACATCCATGTATTTTAATATAGTATCGGAGAGTACTCGCCCAGCGTCGGCTTGCTTCTTGCCCGTGACGTCAGCGCCCAATATGGCCGCCGCCTCCAGATGCTTGTCGGGATCACTTGCCGCGGTGAAGCGGAATACCGATGGCGCAGTCAGTACTACCGCTAAACCGTGCGGTATCATTGGCTCAGTACTGGTTAAAAAGTATTATTTGGAACAATAAAAATTTTAACACTATTCACATAGAACTGTATAGTTTTGGGTAATACTTGAAAAACACATTCAAAAATAGGTTTTGGGATAAGAATACGCTTATTCCCATATTAAAATGAGGATTGTACAAAAAGCCCTGCCCACTGTTCAATAAATTGCCCACTCATACTGCACACACATACTCAGGAGAGAAGTGGGTTATAATTACAACCGACATGACAGACAAAATAATTCTAATTACCCGTAATCCTTCGGGACGTAATCTTTGACATTCCCAGCGATGGGATAAGCTAGTCCGTGGCAGAGATGCACGCCAGCGTTGCCAATGCCCACGCCGGCCATGGTAGCCGCTAAGTGCATACTAGAACGTGCCTCTATGTCCTCCGAGTTGTATACTGACCGCTCGAAGTACTTGTTAAGGCACTGTATTATACCAAGAGAATAATTTTGGTTACGAATTTTAATGAAATTTTAATTCACAAGCATAACATTTATATGTCCGTGACGTACCTGAAGACAGAATCTAGCCCAAACATCTGATATAGGGTTACTGCCCTGATAGACTGGTCTCAGAGCGGGATTGGACGGAGCAGGGCCTCGCTCTGTATATGGTATAGCCGTAAAACTCTCCAGCGCATGACAGAAGATGTCAAAACCTGCGTAGTTTGCCACAGTTTGTGGTACACTTAGTGTGTGCAGAGGATCTATCAGCGCCAGGAGTGGCCGTAACGCGCTGTGTGCGATACCTGTCTTTGCTTTTATCTCTTCATAATCGAATATACTCATTCCTGTCGTCTCACTACCAGTTCCACTGGTAGTTGGTACTGCAAAATTATATTAATTTTTAAGTACTCAGCAAAATCTGACTGTAATCATGTGTTAAAACAACTGACTTGCTATGACAGGCTTGAGTGGCTCCATGGTGGTTTTGCCTTTGCCTACTGGCTGGTTGACATAGTCCAGAAAGTCGGCGTCCGGATTGCAAGCGTAAAGGTTGGCAGCCTTGCACGTGTCCATTACGGACCCGCCCCCCACAGCCACATAGCTATCGTAGTCGCCACGCTTCGCGAAATCTATTGCATGTTTCAAACTAAAATATATATTGTTTATTGTTATTTATTAGGCAAGATTATATTCTGTAAAAAATTGCTTTCAAATCTTCATACCTTGTGTCCGTAGGCTCCACACGAACTTGATCATAAACACTGTAGCTTATACCATTACTGACAAGAGAATCCAAAACTGCTTTCATAGGACTCAGGGATACTACATTAGGGTCTGTCATAACACAAACATTTTTGGCCCCTAAATTAACCAAATCCATACCAACTTCCTTTGTCACACCTAATCCATACCGTACAGTCGAACATTTTATCTGCAAAGTATTTTTACCTTGATTTTTGACAATTAACTTTAAAATAATTAAGACCTTCCAGTACTGGAAGCACGTGTTCTTGGTTCAATTTACTTTGAGCAATTTTCTGTATTCCCTTTATTAAGACTTACCTCGAAAGCATAATCTTTACTAGGTGTAGTGCTTGAAACTTGAACATTTCCTCTATATCCATGAGCCGGGCATTGACAACTATAAAAAATTAGCAACTAAACATTATCTCTCCGAGCTTGCAGAATTGTAGAGATTGTGGATTGATCTATGTAGTATTTTATCATCTTTTTTTCAATTTTGAATGCACAAAAGTATATTCTATATTAAATTCTGGAACAGTGGGGATTTAATTCCTGATCTAGGTGTTATTGCCAAAGTGTAGTCTCATTCCCCTTGTATTTGATAAAGTTTGATTTGTGGGAATCATAACAATATTTAAAGAGAGGATGCATCCAAAATCCATTTACAGTTTTATTACTGTTTGTTAGTTGTAGCTATACTTTTAGCAACAAAGATACCTAAATATCTCACATTACAAAATATTAAAATGTAGAAACCTTGGTTTTGTATGGCATTACTGTAGTTGACCTCAAACTTTGTACACATCCTATTGTGTAATCCTAAAATGTTAATATATAGTATGGCTTGGAAATATTAAATTGTTGAACTTAATAAATAGTTAGAAATACTTACGATGCAATATTTATTGTTCTCAGTAAATCAAACACTCTTTTACGTGAAGACATTTTAATTATAAAGGCAGTAAAAATATGTACATTCAACAGTTACGTATGTCAAACTTTTAGAGTAATATCAATGTATTTACTGTTGTTATCGATAACCTTCAATGCAATTATCTATCTTTATTAAAAAAAATATGTTGTTTTTTGAAATGATAAGACGTTTGTGATATAAGGAGTTATTTATTTGCTTGATATTCATCTGGTACATGTTTGTTTCCAAAAATTAAAAGTTTAAAAAACGCATATTGGGACAAACTAAAAAATATTTAATTAACTAATAACTTAAAAACCTCTAAATCTGTACTTAAACAAAATATAAATTAAAAATAACCAAATAAAAAACTACGACACAAAATTGAAACACAGGTGACAACTTACGTCAAAATTAATTCATTTGACATCGACATTTTAGAAAGAGAATAACGAAACCATAAACATGGTTCACCATGGTTACATACGTTCTTTAATTTTTGAAACGATCTTTCACATTATTCACATAGTTTATTGTTTTATTTTTTATATTAATTCCATCTTCACTTAGGGTGAGTTGCATCAAATCGCTGGTTATCGTAAAAGTTATAATAGGGTTACAAGTGCAAAAACATATTCTCACAGAGGTTTTATGTGTTTTTCTTTTTAACAATGGAAACATTTAAACCTGAGTGTCACTAAAGTGTCAAGTTGGTGTCAAGAATGACATTTACGTAAATTAAAATGTTTGGAAATTCATGTTTCGCCGATTATATTTATGTATCATACGCATGGTATTTTATAGTGAAATAAACTTTTTGCCCACGAAGATGGAGAAAATGGCAAACTCTTGTGAAAATAAACTAGTTTGGGCCATTTTTGAAACTGTATTTACTTTACTACTCAAATATGTAGCAAAAATGAAGCAATAAAATTATACAAATATAAATGCATCTTATTTATTTTCCATATTATAAATTGTCCTGTCAATGCATATTATAAATTGACCTTTTATGGAGGACATTTTTTTAAATAAGAGAAAAGGGACAAGCGCTGTTGCTATGGCCTTAGACACTCGAAATTTGTCCAAACTGAATGTTTGGCCAAATTTCGAGTTCCATCTTGGAAATCCATTATTTCCGAGCACGCAAGACTTTATTCTTCTGGATTACCTATAGGATAATAGTAGATATCTTCTTTTTCCATTACTTTTTCCATTATTTGTGCTTTTGAAGATAAGAGCTTGTGACAGTTGACACTACCGAACTGACACTAACCGTAACGCTAACTATAACCGCCCAAAATCGGGCGGTTATGATTAGTGTCAAATATGACGTTATTTTGACCAGCGCAAAACTGGTGTAGCGAATATCATGAACATCCGAAGACGTAACCATCGGGAATGTGCTGGTTAAGGTTTATAGTTAGTTAATGTAACTCATCCTTATTACATTTTAAGATTATTCCAAATATTACCATTTCAAATAATTTTAACTTTAACGGTAACCGGCGATATGGTGCAACTCACCCTTAGTTTGGAAAGATTACTAAATTATAAATTGGGGGTTTAGGATAAGGATATGAAATAAAATCAAACAAAACCAATTTTAGACATCGAGGTGATGTATTAATAAATTCTTACAGATTTCCATTCAGATAATACACAATAGAAAAAAATATTTCAACTACAACTCCATACTCCCCGGTATACTACAATACAGAATAAAACATCTTATTCTCATTAGCATCATTTGGTTACATACAATCCTAATAAATGACATACTGACAGCTAAAATGGCATTTAAATATTATCATCACATTTCATCATAAATTAAAACGTTCTTTAAATACGAAATTATTCCAGTATGGAAGCTTGTAATAGAAAGTTTGTGATAACACAGTACTTATCGCACTTTTACTTAAATCAAAATAAGTTAAATTATATTACAAAAATATAGATAAAATAATATATTTACAAATTAATATATTTTTAGTAACTTAACGAAAATTATCGTAATAATTGTGTCTCGTTTTTAACAGTACGAAGGAAACGTAAATGGCTAATGGTGGATTACTGAAAGCATTAAATTATTTTTCAATCACTCCCAGATAATACTAAATTATGGCAACGCGCGTCAATATAGGTAACTTTAACATACGTAGGCATCACTTACTATCTACGAATACAAAGGAATCTTAATATACAAAAAAAAAACTCAATTACAGTAAGGGGGAATGTTTTTGACGTGATGGATCACATTCTTCGACTATGTTTAACATTACAAGAAATCCTTCGCTCTACTTCAACGCTATTGCTATTCTAAAATTATTGCATACGAAGTTATTCTACTATTTAAAATTGTGAAAGTGATAAAATTTAACATTTATAACAAGATTCAAACGCTCACTCGAAGGCGACCTCGGACCACGCATTTGATCGCTCCAGACCGCTACATAAATAATCTAAAGCCGCAGACGTTTATATATTTCGGGATAATTACAATAGAAATCTTTGGTCCATGTTACAAAAACTAGATACAGTACAGCGCACGTCCATAAATGTTACACATCGATTTTTAAAAAGAAATCACAGCTTAATAGAACGTCCATGTTGCACAAACACCGAACTGTTTAAATGGATAGGCGATCATTTGGAAACGACAGATTTTGCTTCGTTGAAACTTAAACGCGCCTTTTAACAATAATGACACTCAAGTCTATCACTATTAATAATTCGAAAACTCTTGACTGCGAGAAGTCGCAACTTTCAGCGCCAAAATCGAGAAAATAAAATAGATACAAAATACCGCTGTGTATAGCCTATCCATTTACAGAAGTCAGTGCGCAACAGACGCGCAGTATGTGCGACAGAGATAGCGCTTTATAAAGACAAAATCTCTGGAAATGTCGAGCAATATTTATAGCCGCTTACTGTACACGGGTTAAGGTGCCCGTTAATTTAACCTCAACATTAACGCCTGGTTCACACATGGCCAATACGGTCAGCTCTCAATAATTGGATTGGCATTCATGGAATTGTGAAATACGCCAGTGAGTGCATGCAATGCCTGGTTTACTGGTCTGACTACTGGCCATGTGAGAAGTAGGCATGAGCCGCATTGCGCGGCCCGAGGCGACCTCACACATAATCTACGGCGACATCAACTACGAGAACACAACAACTTTCACTGGTCCGATATTATATCGCGAATATATCTTTCTCTACATCACATATATTTTTTGGCAAATTAAATGAGCTACACACACGAGTACAGTCAGCTTCAAATAAAAGTTATGAAAATCATCGCATATATTAGTAAAAAACATAGATGTTTTATACCAAAATTAAGAATAAAACTTAATTCAAATTCAGTTAAATTACTGTTTTCTTGATTCTTCTTAAAAGCGTCAGTTCATCAAATGATTTTGTATCTAATTATATTTTGTTTACTTTTATGTGAAGCTGACTGTACATCGCTGTATTCACGATCACTTTGTGAACATATATTAATAAATTTTATTTCCAAATTATATATATTCCAATAATTTTTAATTTTGTCAATTTTTTTCAAACAATTGAGCCATATTGATCTCCAAGCCTGACAAACATCATATAAGAGAAAATTGTCCATTTCTAAGTTTTTTTTTTCTTAAAAACAATCTACACATTGTGTATCGAGTTACCGCGTGCGTTTTAATAAAGAAATACATATAAAAACTGTAATAATCAATACATCCCAGTATAAACCCACAAAGGGACGGAACTACTGGCCATACTTCCTATATTGTCAACAAAGCTAATTATCATTTTGGCGAGAGTTTTTAAAATATATTTATATACTTGTCAAACACTGTATTGTACAAAACAATCAACAATTAAAAATACACATTGCTAATAAACTTGATCAATTTGTTTTCTCATTTAAAACAGAAGTGATATAAATAGGTTATTTCTATTAAAACATTAATATAAAACTTGCAACACTGAGCATTGTATATGAAAATATTTAAAAACCCTCGCCAAAAAAATAGCTTATAAACGCGACCAATTATAACATTTAATATCGTCAACAAGAGAATGATATTCCAAAAGTGGTATGGATAAAATTGATGAGTATTAAAATTCTTGTATAAAAACAATAACCACTTCACTTGTGCTATTGACATTTTGTTGTCAACTGTAACAGCAAAGGCAATATTTGTGATAACAGTAATCAACAAACGTGAGGGTCTATCGCGAATATTTGCGTGACAGTTGCGAGAATATATTCGTAACGACATCGACAAAATTTGTATGCGATTTGTTAGTGTACTTCATGTTCGGTAGGAGCGCTGCACAAATGTAATACAAATTATGTCGATGACGTTACGAACTTTCTCACGAATATTCGTGATAAACCCTCAGTTGCATTTAATAACTATTAACGTATGTATACGTTATTTTACCATGATTTTTATATAAAGAAATCAAATAGATTTTTTCCGTAATTTTGCATGATGCAAATAAATTGATTGTTATCAAAACAATTTATAAAATTTAAGTAGTCACTTTTACCTAATATGGACCAAAAATTATTAATACTGTATGTATTTTGTCAATTTGTAAAAAAAACACTATTTTCTTTAAATAAAAATATACAAATAAGCAAGAAGAATGTGCTGCACGAATGCTAGAGTAAATAAGCTCATAAATGAATTCCAAAAAGCTAGGCCAAGTGGGCTTTGTAGTTAATAGCAATTCCTTTTACCAGCTACAAATGTAGCAAACATTTAAAATCATTATTAAAAATTCGAAAGAGATAGTAGATAGTTTCTTTGGAAGTTAATACTTAAACTCCTACTACTACGGCGAACATCCGTGAAAAAAGCGATTTCGACCGAGACAAGTCGTAGTATGAACACTTTACATTGTGCGCTATATATCCGTCCTTGTCGCACCTAGTCGGGTAGCATGTGTACGAAAGAGACGGGGAACATGCCGCGGCGCGCGGTGCCCTCCACCTGACCTTCCATCCAGTCGTCGTCCTCGGTGCGCTCGTTGATGACCACGATCACCTCGCCCTCTCTAAACGACAGCTCGTCCTCATTATCCGCGGAGCAGTCGTACAGCGCACGGCAGCGGCGCATGCCACCGCCCATCTGAAATGTTCAAAGGTTAAAATTAATAAACAAAATAGCTCATTACGTGCAACGTCAAACGCACTAAGGCGAAAAAACGATTTTAGCAATGAATTGGGATGTTCTGTTTAAGGCGTTTACGATGATCAAAAAAAGAAATTAATTTTGAGTCTAAAAGTCACATTTTTGAATATACATATATGATACTTGACAATTACATAAAAATTACACTGATCCTTTGTAGTTCTACTAGCTTTCGCCGGCGACTCTCTCCGCGTCGAATAAAAAAAAACAAAAGCAAGTAGCCTTTGTTTCCTTACAGACTATCCTCTACATTCTCCTTTTTCTCTCTAACAAACATCATCCATACTTTCGCAATTACAAGTTAAAAGCAAATAAATAAAAAATTTGCGGTTATTAGTAAAATTAAATGTAATTTATTTTAACGTACCATTGTAATAGAAGTGGAAGGCGAGCGCGAATGTACACTAGAAGTGTCAGAGACATCAAGGGAGCGACTGTCGCTGCGACGCGCGCGCCCCGCCCCCGCCCCCGCCCCCGCCCCCAGCGCGCCGCGCCCCTCCCCGCACAGCTCAGACATCTCACACAACTCCAGAGACGAATCCTGACTAGAACAATCCTGAAACACACACCACTCTAACTATACATACTTTATTTCTACAAAGCATCACTGAACAATATTTAACTAAATTATATCTATAAGCAACAATTGTTGCCTATATTCTGCCAAAGTTACAAAAGACGGGACGATGAAAACGCTAAAGGGAATAAGGAATTGACATGGAAAATAAAAATAAAGCTAGTTTTAACTATTCAGCTGTAACTATTCCCAAAAGCTCTAAAATCTAATATTTATTCGATTAAATAGAAAAAATACTCCTACCACTAAACTAACTTTAGAAAAATATAGTTGTTCCCAAAAGCTTGGAAATTATTTACAAGACTCGTATTATTTTGTACACCACTTTACTAGTGCATTAACATAAGGTTTAAAAAAAGACTGGCTCAAATAACGTATATGATTATTAAAAAACTCTGTGTGTTTAAATCACTTCAAAATCATGCATTTCACTCGGTGTTATTAGTAAAAACGTCAGCGTTACTCTCGGGAGCGAATTCACAACAAAATTAGAGATACACCAAGGTTTATGTACGTATAAATATCGTAATTGCATTTGAAAATAACTAAGCTACCTTGAAATATCTATGCAGTACAAAATATAGTGTAAATATAAATATAAAAAAGGGGGGATAAAATGTAGTTTGTTATTAGTCTGTGGACATTTGAAGCTCTACGCTATGAGATATTTGCATGCAATTTAACTATTTAACCATAGAATATTGGCAAGAGAGATAAGAAAATTTAAATCTGAAAATGTTTTACGATTTTTACACTATTAAAGTAATCAAGAAATGTCAAAAAAAAAATCGCATTTTATTCTCTTGACAATGTATTAAAACAACTAAAGTGGGGGAGGGGGTGAAAACGAGGGTAAGCAGGTATAGAAGCTCGTCAGACATTCGTTACCCTTCTCAGTTTCGCACTGACAGCCTTGTCCAGGTGCAATCTATTTTTCTTCTGAAGCAAAAACAAATACAATCTTGTACTAATTCTTTATTGTTAGTCGCTTCATTGTGTTTATTTAACAAGAAAAACAATGATTATTCATGAAAACTTCTACTTTTTACAATTAATTTAAATTATTAGTATACCCATTGGAGTCACAAGATTTTGTCTAAATCCTAGTATTTCAATACATTTTGAGGTGTTAATTTTTCAAATAAGATGACATCTAATACAAGAAGATAGTATTAATTCAAATAAAGCTTTTTGTAGTGATGAGACATTTATAGTGGTGTGAAGTCACCACTAACTGGTAGAGGCTCAGATAGCTTAAAAATGACGTCACTATCAGACAAGATAACACAATCCGATATTACCATCACCATATTTTACACGTTGGATTGTTATCAGACAATTTACAAGAAGTTCGTAGAACTGACTCTTAAGATCACTTTGAGTGGTGGGTGTGGTAGATGTGGCGTTGTGGCGTTCTCCGTTATGGCGATGTATTGTTGTGGCATTGTGGCGATGTGGCATTGTGGCGATGTGGCATTGTGGCGATGTGGCATTGTGGCGATGTGGCAATGTGGCGATGTGTCGTTTACAAGCAGCAGTTACCTTCCTGGGCGGCGGCGTGGGTTCGTCGCGGTGGTGGGCGTAGGCGGCGGCTGCTGCGGCCGGTGCTTCACACCTGCGCAACACTCGCCTATATTACATTACACTATTAAACTTTCGCCAAAAATTATTCTTAAGCATACGTAAGTTGACAAACAAATTATTAAATTTATAACATTCCAATTTTGTGGTGGCATTAAAATTCGTTAAATCTCAACTTATTCCAGTTATTTTTGAATTTGTAGGATTTTTGAAATATGACAGTTTCAAATGATTTCACACTCCTGTAGGGACACTGTTTTTTTTTTTTAAGAGAACGAGAGTGATGGCAATCTTACTATTATCAAAAATGCGAAAGTTTAATAGATGGATGTTAGAGTTAGTAAATACTTACAATCCATCTATCATACTACTGCTTAAACCGGTAAACGGATCGATTTAATTTGGCATATATGAAGAGGATAGCCTGGAAGAACACGGACTACTTTTGATTTTTTTTAATTCCCTTTGGTCAGTTGCGGCAAAAGCTAGTATTATCCTAAGTTACCGTGTATGGAGCGCGTGCTGTCCGCGGAGGGCGAGGGCGTGGAGCGCGGGTGCGGGGCGTGCGCAGGGTGTGCGGGGTGTGCGGGGTGAGGCGCATGCGACAGCGCTACAGCCGGCGGCAACGGCGCAGCGCGCTTCTTCAGACTACCGATGTTATCTACATTAAAAGAAAATTGTAATATTAACTATCCGCGATCACATACTGGAACCAATCTGTCCACATATCAGTATCATCAGACTATTTAAACCCAACTAACTTCTTTCTCTAACTTAGTTTAGTTTAACTAATATATTACAGTTGTCATAGATCTTAGAGGCTCTTACATACTACCCATTGTGGTGATGACCTTGGTCTGCTAAGATATTTGAAAAGCGTAATATTTGTATATAGAATTGCCAACAAAACATTTACATAGATACATACAGTGGTTGAATCTTAGTTATGTATATGATATTGTTATGTTAGTTAGTATATTGTAGAGTCAGACTCACAAACGTTGGGTTTCCTAGGCAGCGTGGTGGGGGTGGGGGGCGCGTGCAGGGAGTCGCAGGTGGAGGAGCGCGAGCGCAGCACGGGGGAGTCCCCGCCGCCGCCGCCGCCGCCGCCCCCGCCCCCGGCACCGCCCCCACCCGCGTACGAGGGCGGACGAGACCGCGGACACTTCTTCTCAGGCGTTATACTACCGTTATGCTGAAAGCCATTTATATTTTACGTTTACAAATTGTAACAAGTACAATAAAAATGATATATTATCTTCATAAATCTTTAAATTTGCTATTTAAGTTCGAAACAATTAGATTAACATCAATCTTAAACTGAAAAACCGTATCTATAATGTTATAATTCAACCTAGAATATGAGAAAAATATCGACATTACTAAATTTAAATTAATTGAGAAAGAAATCAAAATAAACTTACCCTCTCGTCTATGACGGTGTCGTCATCTGAGAAGTCAGTAGAGCCGTCGTCGTGGGATAGATTCCAGTCGATGTTAATATTTTCGAATATACTTTTCTCCCTCTTGTCCACACTCTCCAACTGAAAAGTAAATAAAAATTATTTATAACCATGCACAGATATATATGACATAAAGAACTGCATAGGTCACATTAAGAAATATGACAAACAGTTAATTTAAAAAAATACCGTAATAACAGTATCTGTGTTATTGCGTTTTTTTTTATTAAATATGTCTGAACAATCTAACTAATATTATAAACGCGAAAGTTAGAGTTAGAGTGCATGTTAGTTTGTAGCCTAAACTGCTGAATGGACAGATCTCGATGAAATTTGGCATAGACGTAGAAGATTGTACAGAAGAACACATAAACTACTTATTTTAATTCCACGCAGACATAGTTGGGGATGTAAGCTAGTCATATAAAAAAACGTATTTCACATTTGAATGATGATGCAGCCTTAATACGCGCTTTAAAGTTTTTACCGTGTTAATAAAGTCGGTAATCCTTATTGCTCATTCCACTGACTAAAGTCTTAGCGACCATTTACTTAATTAAGCCGTAAAGGCGAGTGCGCGTTTACTTGAAGATTTTTTTATATAATAAGGTTAAAGGAATAAGGAGTTCGCGTTTTCAGTAATTTCATTATAATTTTTTTATATAAATTTGGGTTAAAAAAAATCCCATTTTTGGTACGCTTTTTAGGACTAGCTTAAAACTGGGTAGTTATTTCAAAAGTGTGACCAACTGGCAGCTATTGCGCATAAAACAAAAAAAAACACGGCACCGTTGTACATACATAAAAAAACCGATCAAATCGAGAACTTTTTTGGTCGGTTAAAGAAAATCTCTTTACATTAAACACTACAATCTTACCAATTCCTGACAGGCGAGGTGTCCGAGCTGTCGCGCCACCATCAGCGGAGTCCTGCCGCTGGCGTCCCGCAGCGTGACGTCAGCGCCCGCCTTCAGCAGCAGCTTCATCGGCTCCGTCCTATCGAACATCGCGCACAGGTGCAGCGCCGTCACGCCGGACGACGTCGCCTTGTCCAGCAACTGAGACCCGCCGTTCTGGATTAGGAAGTCCACTATATGGAGACAGGATCCGTCCCCCAGCTCGCGGGACACCGCTAAATGCAGCGCTGTTTCACCGCCGTCCTGAAATTTAAACATCAATATTATAAAACTAGATGTTTCCGTACGGCTTTTTCATTTCGGCTCAAAACAGTTGTGCGATACTTTAGTCAAAGGCACACTCAAATGTACGTTTAGTATGTTTTATTTTATGATAGATTATCTTTCATTTTAATGAAACAACCGCTGCAGTTCACATTACCCAAGTGTTCTACAGAGGTTCGTTTTTTTATAAAAGAGCCTTAAGTGAATGGAAGGTCCTCAAATGTTTTTGTGACATGTAATGTGGTAATAATGTGTAATTTAAATTTTTGCCTTCCAAACAGTCTGTAGTGAGTAATTTTATGTGCGTAATTAAAAATGTATCTTCCGGATTTCCCAGTGTTAGCGTGTAATAAAATTATTGTTTCTGGTAAGAGTGTATAATGTGTATTCATACCGAGCAGGGCAGCGGCGCAGCTAGGTCCGCACCCTCCGCATACGCCTGCAGCAGGTTGTGCAGCTGCGCGTTGTTGACGGCGTGCTGCACCTCCGACAGCCGCTCGGCGGCGTCGCGGCACGTGCGCAGCGCCCACACGCGGTACACGTACTTCTCGCGGATGAAGCGTAACCGCTCCTCCCTTACACAATACACATTCGAGTCAATTACACAGAATTGTGGCAAAAGGGTAAAGTGCAATATATGTAAATCTAATGATCTTAGGTATATAAATGCGACATTTTAGATGGATGGATGGATGTTTGTTAGAGTTTATAGCCTAAACTAAAATTATTTAAATGAAATTTGGCACATAAAGATAATCTGGAAAAACACAAAGGCTACTTGCTTTCGTTTTTATTTATTTCCACGCAGACAGAGTCGCGGGCGAAACGTAGTACGTTATATTATATGATTAATAATGAATAGGCTACCTATATTCAGTAATTCAGATATTTTCTTTAGGCTTTCAATGTGTAAAAGGATTTGTAATATACTTTCTATTTGTACACAATTACACAAGTTTGACAAAAGCGTATTTGTGTAATAGTGTATTGTAGTTCTCACATGGTGCTTTCCGGTGTCAGCTTGTCGCGTTCGTCGAGCGTGTTCTCCATGACGTCATTGAAGAGCTGGTTGCCCATGTGGCGCGCCAGCAGCAGCTGCGCCGTGCTCAGCTTGTCCAGCGTCAGCGACTGGATGCGCGAGATGTGCACGCCCAGCTCGCGGTGACTTCCAGAACATTCTATACACACTATTATACCGAAGTTCGTCGATAGCCATGTCGGATCTGGAAGTAGAAAAGATCTGATTACTATTATAAATATGTAGCATGCAGATGAAATTTTGAATAGAATTTTTTTAACGAAATTCGGAGTTTAAGCGTGGCCTTATCGTGACGAACTTTTTTTTAAGAAAAGCAAGCTTCTTTGGGCCATAAAAACGTCGAAACATAAAATAATGATTGTATAATTTTATGTATTATATAATATACTTTACAACAAAAAAAATAGGGATTAAGATGCTGTTAGATATTTAAATGTCACTTCAGCGTTCGACCGTTAGTATTATATTTCTGTGGTTGTAGGTCAGAATATGATTTTTTTTTTTGGTTAAAAAAAATAAAAGGACAGAATATGAGAAATGCAATTTCATTACTTTACTTATTTACTTATTAGGATCGGCGCGACAGGTTTTTGTTATACACATATGTAACTCTATCAGGTATACCGTAGGTATACCGTCCATATAACACATCTTCTCAGTCATCACTCCCTTTTTGATCATGTCACCTTTTACGCAATCCATCCACCTCTTTCTAAGCTCTACCTCTACCGGTGTACCACACTCATAACTAAAGTATCTGTTACATGCGATTTATACCTCCTCGTAACAAGCCCACACCATGCCAATTGGTCTGTGACCACAATTGAGTATTAATGTTACCATTGGTTGAGCCGCAGTCAGCACACACGTGGTTGCCAGGCAACGCGCGGACCGCACGTATTATAGCTCGTTGGAGGTCGAGCAGCGAGTGGCCCTCCCCATCCGCCTCGCCACCCCCGCCCTCCCCCGCTTGCTGGTGGAACTCCCTTAGTAGCGCACCCTCCTTGCAGTTCACCAGCACCGACGTCCATGCGCGCTGCTCGCTCTCATCATCCGCTTGGAAATGGTATGTACGATTATCTGGAAAACACACCTGTTCAAAAAGCCTCTTAGATTGACTAGCTTTCTTTCTTGATGGCTAGCTCTTTGATCTATAGTCCAAACCCAAATACATACTACGCTAACCGAGATTTTTTTGAAGTCAATTAAACTTATCTTTAGCTCATATAATGTACCTACATTTTATTGCGGGACTAATGAACTTCATTCGAATCGAAAAGATTATCCAACTTAAATAGCTTTGTATTAACAGAGAGTCGACGTGACATATACGCAAACTCCACGCCTACACATTGTACAACACTTAATCCAATCAACTGTAATGCTTAGCGCCAAAGGTAAATTTAAATGGATTATCAGTCACGAGGCATCCGAGTCTACTTAACGCTTACAGAAAAAAGACGAATACTAACTACGAAACAGTCATAAGGCGCATTTATAATCCTTTTGGCTTTTACATATGCAAATATACAATTGCAGTATTTCAGCATTAAATTGGTCGCGTTTAGAGACGTGCCTGATGTTGATTCATACCACGGTTTGTTGGACAATAATTACATCAAACGATTACTGTATAATTACACGATTTAATTACGCGCTAAAGTGGAAATGATTGGTGATTTGTCCTAATAACATTAGCGTAATCGTACAAGTATATCTCCAATTCTATATATTTGCTTATTGACATATATATAATCTAGAAAATTCTATATAACCGTACAACAATACTAGCAGTTGGTCGCGACTGTGCCAGCGTGAAATTAAAAAATATAGCCTATGTTACTCACAGATAAATTTCCGTTCTAATGGTGAAAGAATTTCAAAATCGGTCCAGTAGTTTTTGAGTTATTTCAATACATGCGAAAAATACAAATTTTCCTCTTTATAATATAGATTAGTTGCTATACTTACATGAGACTAGATCGAACGCCCTCTTATCATCGGAGGCGACTTTAATCTGGCATGTGAGCAAGTTTACTCTCGCTGGTGGTTTGTTTTCATCTGCATGGAATATATCAAGGTATCCCTCTGCGGCAACTCTACAACGTCGCTTCTGCCACACGCGGCGCACCTTGCCCTCGGATTTCTTCAACAAATACCCACTTCGCGTCACGCCGTGCTGTTTATCGCCTTGTAGCTGATGCAATGAATACCCCCCTACTGATGATGCCACCTGGATGAATAAAAAAACTTAAGTAGAGTCGACATAACAGGTATACAAAAAGTTTAAATTTAATTTATGTATAAATATTTCATCATATTTACGATAAACAGTTTAGAGCACGCGTCCGTCGTACTGGAATGAAGTGAGATATATGAATAATAATGAACACTCAATGTGATCGCAATACATATTTAAAACATTCTAAAGTTTTAAGTTGTGTATTAATTCTTTTTTAAATAGGTATTGTAATTTTATATTTTAGACACTACCATTTAACATGATATCTGACAGAATTAATTGGGTTTTTAAATAACAATATACGATCAACGAATGTCAAAATAAACCAAGCAGTAACCTAATTGCCAACATTTTAACTGTAGACAATGCTTTATTGCAGTTACAATTTAAAACATAAAATACACTTTTTTCGTCCATAGAAAATAGTAACTTTACATTAAGCAATTTAAAATAGATGGAAACGTAATTGCTATTTTCGCGAGCTGTGTACGTGAACATAAAAAAAAACATTATCCATTAGTACTCTGTAATCACTCGAATTGGATTACGAAGTTATTTTTGTGGCACCACTGAACGACAAATTCGTCGGAACGCATTTAAATTTATGTTAATGGATATTAAAAATATGTCGCTAAAGTTAGCAATTACAATATTGCCTAAATAAAACGACCTAAATAAAAAAGACATTATTAACTTAAGCGAAGAACATAGTACAATACATTATACTAATTATTAATTCAAACAAATACTTAATCTACTAAAACATAAACACGGAAATGTATTTGCTTGTTTATACATACATATAATATCAAATTAAACCAAGGCCGTGAGAATGTTTTGTTCACACCTTTACTTAACAATATGTAAGAACATTTAATAGTGCCCCTTAAAATGGGTAAAACGAAGTAACTTTGGGTAAACAATACAACAAACATGGGTAACTTTAATTTTAAACATAGACACAGAGAGATGCAATATTGTTGAAAAAACTACATTAGTTATTTTAATATGTGCATACAATTGTTTTCATTCCCACGAGATTTAGTTATTCTTATTCAATTGGAATGTATAGGAACATACTTAACGATGTATTTATAATTGTACTATGCGGAATGTTTCCAACACGTGACTGAGTATTTGGTTACAGAAATGAACACTTAAAAAATTCGTAGACACACCAAGATGGCTGAAGTAAATTTTTTTATCATGTTTATCTCAGGTTATCCACTTTGTAGATCTTATTTATTGCGAAATTAGCATGAAGTTTGAACATATAGCTTATAAACTAATAGACAAATCACTATTTTTTTTTGTCAATATTCTATTCAGGAACACATACTACATAAGTTAATATTATTGTATTGTTAATTAAGATCACGGTTGTATCTTAGAGAAGGCCTAATATAAAGTTACCTCTCTATCTGGCGGTGCTGCCGCTCGCAGCATGTTCCTGAGCTCAAGCAGGCCACGTCGTTCGTCGTCCTGCTGTTGTCTAATCCTCTGCAGCTGGGAACTGAGATCAGCAACGTACACGCCGAAATGCTCTATCGTCTTCAGCCCATCCTGGAAGTAGTTCGTCTGCGCGTGGTAGTACTCCACCAGATGCTGCAGTAATTCGATGCCCTTCTTCGTCTTTATCTCGTTGAACTTTATCAGGTACTAAAACAACAATCATACGCTATTATGTTTACAAACAAAACTGCTCAATAAAAAAAATAGTTGACAAGGACGTTAAATGAACAACTCAGTTTACTGCGGATTTTCTATGTATTTAAAATAATACGAGCGATAGTTCATTACTATGAGTTATTAAGAGGAAAACTTGAACGATTGATTTGATATAACATTCATGCAAGTCACTTTCAAAAAATTCACTTTGGAGATCTTAATTTAACACCAACAACAATACAGATAAACGACTGGACTGGCCGCATTCAAGCTACCTATGTGTGCTGTCTTTGAGGTACGTGGAGACTTCTAATCTATGAATTTCTTTGAATTTCTAGTAGGACAACCACAATTTTTTTCATACACCACATAGAAACTTTCAATTGTATCATATACTGTCACACCTATAGTGTGAATGCACTTTTGTTTTAGACACCAGTTTACTGTTATAAAAAAGGAAAAGGTGCTTTACTTAATAATCTAGAAATGTAGACAATCCCGAAGGAGCGGGATGCGTGCGCGCGTGATTCGTACTGCGGGAGCGAACACCGCACATTACACGGTGTCCTTCCGCGAGTTAAATTTACACGCTATGACGCACAAGCACGCGCCAATGCTATGCCGTATCCAGATTTGTCTCGGCTTGTGCAATAATAATAATAAAGACGGATCGCGACCTTGCACAACTCTGTTGGTGACTCGCCGGCTAAACTCCCGCGACAACGATTTACTTGTGTTCAATACATGTGAGCGTGTAGTTCTCTTGTAAATGTGTGTGTCAACAAACAAAAAAAAACAATGTTTGCAAACATTAACTTTTAAGATGTGTGACGTTGTAATAGTGTGTGTAAAATTACTGCTTAATTTTAGCCTCTTCAAACTTAAAGGTCACCTTTTTAGAAGCATTTACTTAAGGCGAGACCAATCTTTGTACGGAGAACTTTAAGATGTGAATAAGATGAATAATTTGATGTTTTTGATAAATGTGGTCGTGGACCGTCATACAAATATCTGGGACCTGGTAGCGGCTAGCGGCAAGCGAGACAAAGGGCCGGCAGCGACCCTGCGTGAACAAGGCCGGTCGATGACTTGTCGCGCGCCGACACCGGACTAAACACTTCCACCTTTCTTATTTCACGACAATTTATTTACGAATACCAAAGAAGTAATCTTGACAAATAGACGAAATAATAACTAACACGATTACCTTAAGAAGTGGATGACAAATGTAACGCAAATTCAATCATGTTACATACACTCTTAAGTAGACTTTTAGTTTCGTTAGATAGTCTACAAGTAATGTAATAAATAAACGGATAGCTTATAGTATTGGTAGCATAAGCGAAAGCTTAAATCCTTTAAGTATTCTACAGCTTAAATTATTATCGCTTGCATAACAATAGCTACTACGTCCTAATACCAAATCCAATTCAGGTCATCGGCGAATTAGAGCGGACTATGTGAAAACAGCATTAAATCAATACAAAGTTAGCTGAACTGAATTTGTGCGGCCTGACAATGGCATCTCTGAAGTGGCAGGGCTCAGCGGAATGCACGACACAATAGTTTATCAAGTATGCTTTATTAGGCTGATGTATGATGATGTATGGAGCCATCCAGCCCGCTTCAATAGATATTGAGTGGCGGAATAGCAGAGTTGAAAATTACAGGACTTAAAATGGATTCTAAAAGAGTAGGCTACGAGTCATTACATTCTCAATTTTAAAACGCAACAATTTTTCAGATTTTACCTATTTTGATGATTACTAATAACCGCTTATTAATATAAGAATGATTACCACACGTATTATGATTTAGCATAGCTTAGTTTTAGGAATTTATGTAAAAGGTTTTGTTGTTAGTTGATGACAACTTGTGCAAACAAAGGAATTCTACAACTTATTGCTTGCTATTTAGTAAGTAAATAATAATAATAAGTAAATAAATAATAATAGGTGTATATTTCATAATGTAAATAATTTTGCATGTCCTAAATACATTTTACTTAACATTACATAGCCTTAATTGAAACGTGTCCGTGCAACATTTTGTCGCTGTAAAATAAATTACGGTGGAAATCTCATTCCTTTAAGTTGGGTTTATAGTGCCTTTGCGAGCTGAATATAAATTCTATTAACATTTTGAATAACTATTGAGCCCCGCTCTAAGCGATGGATAACGACAGGGTTCAGTAAATAGGAGCTGAATTCAATTCTCGTGTACTTTATTGTACTACATCTTACTAATATTATAAATGAAAAATTATAGATGAACGGCTTGAACTGATCTCGATGAAATTTGTCATAGACGTAGAGGATAGTCTGGGAGAACACATAGAAAGCTGGTAATTAATAATTACACATTTAAGTCAACTATATTTCGTACCTCGAAGCCCAAGAATTCGAATATAAATTTCGCAAACTTTGCTACGTCGCATAATCAAATATAACAATTAGTAAATAAGCTTCGTTAATTTAACGTCGTTTTCCTCTTACTTAATTACACTCGTTAGTAAAATTGTCAAACAATATCGTAATTGAAACGACCAATTGCGAATATTAACGTCTCGTCATCAATGCAGTAGGCGAAACAATAAATGTATGTGGGCCGATTGCGCAATCAATTCGCGATCATTCGTTATCAATATACATATTATATGACGATATGTTACCAGTAAATTATATTAGCCGCTCATTTGTAATTTGCCTAGGTAAATTATACATCGAAATAAGTCATTCACAGACGTGCCATACTTTTTGATTATATTTCAAAACTTTGAATCGTTTACATTTTACTGTCAGTCACAACAGCCAATAACAAATTTTCCCAGGCATATTACAAATAAGCTGCATTCACGATTTATCAGTGGCATACATAAATGTATAACAAGTATCAAATATTTAGTTATTTGGCATAACAGATGGCGACATACGTTTCGAAGCCAAGCTCGTGCCAGTAGATAGTTTTTGCCAAGCAAGTCGAAATATCTCAGTCATTATCAGTATTCGTTACAAGGCAACCCTGTGAGGTTAGGCACCTGTCAGTCTAATCTTAAATATTTGACAGACTAATTGCAACTGCAATGTAAATGCATTAAGCATTCATTTGCTAAAAATATCTCCTAACACATTTTTTACATTACACAGTCATACGTCATTAATTTATTAATCACTATTGCTCACGACTTCGGCTGCGGGAAATTAAAAAAAACAATAAAAAACATATCCTATATTACTAATAGATGACGTAGCTATTTAACAGTGAAAGAATTTTTGAAATCGGCACAGTAGGGAGTTATATCAATACATACAAAAATCCAAAAATGCAAATTTTAAATAACTCAACTAGCAACACTTGTAAATGTAAATACCTATCATAATTATTTCTCCATCGTAACGTGAAACTGTATTAAAGTGGCAGACAGTTGGCAGTGTGCGATTGGCACGGCATCTATCATTTGGCATCGCAACAATAACATAGTCAGCATTTCGCACACATTATCAAAATAACTGTAAACGTAATATCATTGTCAACGCACTTACGACCCAAAGCGTTTTGTTACGGTCACTGGAAAGAGAACGTTTGCAAAGAAAATTTACAGTTTTACATACTTTGTTCATATACGACCCACTTAACGGTGAGCTTGGATTTTAACTGTGAAAACAAAGGCATATTTTATACCATTAATGGAATAAATAGACGTTTTAAACTAGATCTTGTCGGACTATTACATTCAAAACTATTATTAGTAGCATTTTTTTTCAATTAGCTGAGCAAATTAATATTCTGTGTCCGATTAACCGTGACGTTTTTACATCACTTTTGTTGTACAATAGTTCGGCATAAATAACGGTACCACCTCACGTTCTAAGGTCAACGCACACAAACACATGTTTGTAAGGCTATAAAAAACGCACTTTGCTGAAATATGCGAAAGATAATAGGTAATCTTATCTCTATCGCTATAATACTTATATGTATGTTAATTTGCATTTGAGATTGCTTAATCATGTCTATACAATTGCACTACTTTTAACAAAAAAAAGTATTCTGTTATTGCTCTTCCCTTTGCTCTTATTATTCTTTGTTATCTTTATCGTCTCATAAAAAACGGCCGCAACTTCGATAGGTTATTCATCAATATACAAAACATCGAGTGAGATCGGTGCGATGCGTTCATGAATAGTGCTTTCGTAATTAGTGCGTCCGACAAATGAGTAAGAGGTGGCCGATACGCTGGAGGACCGACAAGTGCAATTGTGAGGTCGGTCATTCACACAACCCGCACGCGGCGCATATAAATATTTGATACAGTTACGTAATCAATGAATACATTTATCGAGAAACAATGTCACCGAGGGACAAACACATCACGAGCATAACAAAGATAAACTGAGTGTAGTCGGTGATGAAAGTACTAACTTTTGTCAACGCTCGCCAAATTCTCCGGATATGTCCTTTTTTGTAGAACATACCACGGTGAGTTGTATAGAGAATCCTTTGATGTCAATTCCAGTTTCTGAATTACAATGCCATCCGTTGGGACGATTTCGTATATTACAGATGTTTCTGTACATGTTACTTAAAGAAAATAATTTATCAGTGCCTGATTTTGTTAAGAAGCGACCATAAACTCTATTTATTTTTCTTTGTGAATTACAATGTCATGCAGATCTTTTATAAGTTTTTAACATGCTTCAAATACCTTTTTAATTTATAAAATTGAGGTTTAAAACCTTTTCAATTTATTTAAAATGCAATTTAAAAAATCCAGATAATTTTAAAGGCTGTAAGCATAATATTTACAGTTTTATTTAGTTACCTCTAAGCGGAATACTAATTGCTACCCGAGGGCGTCCTTACGGCGGAGGTTTATTTACGTGGTGCAGGACTGGATTTACCGTCGGGGGATACTCTGCATAGTTATCAATTAAACATGCAACCGCAGACCGAAATTAATTGTTACATCGCAGCGACGAGACTGTGCATTAACGAAGATTTTGCAAACAATTATTTCATTGCTATTAGAAATTCCTAATATTTTTTTATAGAAATTAGGAACCACTACTTAATACTTAAATGATGAAAACGATATCTATGTGTAGAGAATCTTAACTAATTAATTTCCAGACACAAGCCGTACTTGTACGCATTAACATAAAACTGAATAGATTAACATTGGAATGTACTAAATCGTCGCTATACATTTAACTAAGAATAGAATCTTACAAGCATTCGGTGAGGTTGAGAGCGGCTCTAGATTTACAGACGATAAAACATTGAACGCTGCGTTCATTTCACAGAGCGTTCTCTCCATTTGTTACTGCTATTGGATATTCATTTTATATCTACAGGATCACTTGTGAATATAAAAGCTTAACACATTTTATCTTAGTATTGTAAAGCATTTGCGATTGGAGTAATGCCAGGAGCTCATAATTTAAAAGCTTTTAAGCGTGGAAAATTTAAATCATATTATGAACGTAGAAACTGTAAGTTTACGAGAAATGAATGGATGCTTGTGACTCAGAATGATAATCTATATTAACGACCTACCTTTTTAGCAAAAGAGTAACGAAAATTGTTGAGACGGCGATAATCATTTAGGAGTTAATTTAAAATGTCTAGATCAGACGACTTTATTGAGTTAACGATATAAAAAATTGTTATAGGCAAGAGAATATAGAGACTTGATAAATATACAGACTTAACTTACTAAAAGTTAGAATAACAAAACAGAACGATTACAACGTATTTTTCTCGTAAAACACAGTAAATAAGAGCTAATAAAATCTCCCGATACTCCGAGGTTTTACGTTCTGCCCTAAATTGCTTTTAGAATGCACTAGAGAACTTCGTATCGGGTTTGAAAAGCAAACTCAATGCTGGAGTATTTTCAAAGATAATTTAATAAATAAAACCAGGTCTGTACGAAGTTTCTAGAAAATTTTCATTACACATGACGTAAATGTGAAATACAAGAATAAACACCCGTTAGTGGTATAAATTTTAACTAGAAAACATGTATAACATACGTAACTGTTGGTATTTTTACAGCTTTTTTGAGAACTAAGTGTGATTTCGCTTGACTATGGAAGGTTCCACGTTCCTATTAGCATTATAGAGATAAAATATTTCCTTTGTGTATATCTAGGAGTCTTACCTCGCACATTTGCAATTGAAACAATCTTCTTTCTTTCTCCATCTCATCAGCTATTTCGGCCGGTGTTACTTCCGTTCTAATAAGACCGGCTTCTTTCGCTTGTGATTTCTTTTCCTTCTCAATTTTCAGGTACTTGGACTCGTAGTCTTTGGACGCTTTATCGAATGGCCTTTTTAAATCACCCTTGACTCCTCTGAGATCACCCTTTAATAGACTATCCACTGGGAACATCACTATGTTGTTTATATTCTGCATCTGCGAACAAAGCGAATATTTATAATTAATAATAATATGAGTTTTCAAGGTTCAATATAAACTCCTAGTTACCAGTTTCCTCCTTCATTGACCTTCACCTAAATAGAGTCAGTAGATCTCAATGTAAACATAAAATGAACGATAACATAATGTTTATTCAAAAAGTATTCTGAAAAATCCTGCATTACCCGTATGCGAAAATATAAATTGCTTTAAGTGCCAATTGCAATTTGTATGATAATCAATTTTATTTTTGACATTACTTTTCATGTGTCCAAAACGATAGTTTTAAATACATCGTTGGTCAAGCGTTACTTAGCGGTATATTCGTACACGAGACAATTTGTTGCTACGCGGCATAATATTGATAAACGTTCAGTTCCACTCGTGTGTAAACTGCGCCCGACCGAGCATCTAACATCGCAAACTGAGCAAAGCCGGTTGAGTAAGCTCATTGTGCTTACTGCATACATATGTGTGTATAGAGGACTGCGAGTCCTGAACCTAAGGGATTTGTGCAATGAACATTTTTTACAGACACATATAACTATTTCCATTACAGCGATTCAAAGACGATCTGAAATATATAAGTTAAGGAAGAATTGAATTATAAAATAGAACGTTCTAAACTTAAAAATTAAATTACAACTAAATGAAAAGACTAAAAACTAGAGGATACAATAAGTAATCCTCTATATGGTTAAGATAGTTTCCCATAAAAGGCAGGAAAATATTTAACATGATATATAAAGTTTCATATAATGTTCGTTTAGTGAAGTCAATGAAGTGTATGCACGTTTGACAAACGAGGCCCGGAAGGGCGCAACACAAAGGGTTAAACTACGCCTTACGACCCACCCTCGCTCCCGGTATCTAAACGACAAGCTAATTATCCACGCCAGCATAAGGAAATTGTTGCCATCATTTAAATTATTATAACTTCCTAGGGAACAACATTACCTAAAGAATGCCTATCAAATATACAGTACATTATTTAATTATAATATTATCTAGCCAGATACGTTTAGCTATTTTAGAGTTAAGTAAAATAAACCCTTTTTAACTTTCACTTTTATATTATACTAATTTCCTTTTAGTCGCTATTTTATCTGTGACTTATCCAGATATGCATATTGTTCTTATCATGTAAATCCTAGCTGTTATACCTTACATGTATACGGTTATTGCCCAAACGCTGCATTGTGCACTTGCATGACATATCACGAGCAGGCTGCAGTGTCCTTGTATAGAAAGGCGCTTATTGCGAACTGAACGGCGACAAATGCACACAATAGCTCCATGTATGTACATTTTGAATACCGCAATGTACGAATTTTACATAGATGAAAATTCAAAACCTAAACAATAGTGGGATATGGATCACTACTAGTGAAGAAAATCCAAATATTTCTATATATTCTATCTTACTAATCTGGCTAATATTATAATTGCGAAAGTTTAAATGGATGGATGGTATAGGGTTTGTAGCCTAAACTACTGAACGGATCTCAATAAAATTTGGCATAGACGTAGACGATAGTCTGGAAGAACACATCGGCTAGATATTGATTTTTTTTTTAATTTCAAAACTAGTATTCTGTAATTCAAATATATACGTATGTTTTAAACAACAAAAACACATAACAACTGTAGAGCTGTAACTAAGTCATAATACTATATATCATATTACATATCCTGGTTTAAATTATCACTCGAGTTGACACATTTCTGTGGCACTGTGTTTATCAGCAATTCACATACGAACGTAACTGAAGGTACGATAAACACGTCTGATAAACGGGACATATGTAATACACGAATTTCGAATGTTATGGTAATACCAAAACAAAATGATTACCACACTGTTTCTAACATGTAACAATATACGTGTAATTGTGATATTTTACACATCTTCTAGCGAAATTATTTTATCTCAGATTAATGTTTTGACTAAAATTACAGTTATTTATATTATAATATTCATTTAATCATTCTGTAAGGATATTAGAAACTAGAATTACCAAAATAAAATTAAAATCTCGGCACAAGTGCGGAATAATTCACTAATTAAGTGTCAATTTTTATTGTTAAAATAAATTATAGAGAATTAACGTGGGCTTTTAACCATCTATATTAAAAAATTATTAACTAATTTAACAAAACCATAACATAAACATAAAACATTTAGCATTGTCATGATTAAGTATACAATACTTCTTATAAGGTCTCACAGCAATAAAAACCGAAGCTCTACTTGTTATGCTATCTCCACACAATGGAAGGCACGCGACTTCATAGCATGATGCGAAATTACTAGTACAAACTTCAATTTCATAATTACCATAATAAACAATAGCTTAGTTCCAGTAATTTTGCTTAGTTTAATTTACGTATTTACTTGCTCTCTATTATTTGTGGGAACACAGAACAGAAGCTACATATATCTAATCTATACAACAAAAACAATTCTATGGACTTCAACGTATAATAAAGCAAAAAAGTAAGTCAAGTTAATCTATCAAACCATTTACATATATAAAAATTGAAACCTATCCACGTGACTGTCTTAATCACAATCATATGTTATCTTCCATAAACATTGCAGAAATGCACATTATCGGTTGTTTTTTCTGCGAAGCGATTGCGCGATATCCACACGTAATGACACGTTAATGTAACAACTAACATTGTTGTAATTGAGAACAGGCTTGCGCATGAGCACGCGCTCTAGTGCTACGCTATTGTATGCTAATACCTGTCATAACATTGTTTATGTTTTTATATGCGATATCATACATTTTAGTTACGCCCTCTACTGTTAGACCATTCGACCTTCGATTACCTTTAACGCATCCAATATTGTACGCATAACCGATAACTGTATTTAATAAACGAAAAATAAAATATAATGCTTTTGCTCTTTGAATGGTTTTTAAAATTATAAAAGCATGATGTTTTCAGCCAGGTGATAACCCAAAAGATTTTAATCACACTGTATTAAAGATCTGTTGTATATAAAAAGCAAACGGATTTAAAAAGCGAGTCCCTTCATGCGAAACGCGACAAGCCGACTCATTGTTGAGTAATGCCGACTCTCCGTCTCTGACGCTCAGAACTACATTTTGCTCAGTTATTTCAATTTCCATCTAAAGACGTTAATTTCTATAATCTCTCTTTATTTTACAGAAAAAAAAAATAAAACAATATCTCATCTTTCAAACACACAAACCAATTTTTTTTTAATTAAATCTAGTAAATAAGCTCGGTATTAACGTTAAAGGAAATCAATGTTTACTTCAATAAGTTGGAACTAACAATACAATTTGTGAAGGACACGCGACTGAACCTCTCGTGTCAAGGTTGGGTCGAGGATTCTGCGCAGATTAACAAACACATAACTGACAAAGGTATGTTTCAAATTCTTTACCTTTCACATATAAGCGCTTTCAACGAATTTCAACATAATTGGGGTAGAAGTGCATCAAATTTTATAGACACCAATGTATTGTAGGTGTTAATTTGCACATAAAATCTAAACAAAAGGATCTGCGTTCGTATAAACATCCTAAGAATCTGACCACAGACTATACAACTGAAAGTTACTGAAGTAATTCCTTTGATTTAAGAACTTATGAAATCTAATTCTAAACTAACCTAACGATTTAGTAAAATCCGTTAAGCTTACTCAGGAATTATTAAAAACATTTTTTTAAATTGTACTATGTAAGTATTATTCTAAGAAAACCATTCACGTATCTTTTAGAGAGATACACGTATATATGAGATGACATACATAACAAATGTATGAAATTTATTCGCGTGAATTCACGTATAAAACGTACATCCGTACAAAACACGTAGACAACACAAAAGTAACGTCGGTTACTGTTATATAATGTACCCGTATCCATAAAGCTGGAACATCACGTCTATTACAGGACCGGGCTTATAATCCATCACGTCGCTAGCAGTGCACACAGCCCGACAAGCTTTACGCTACATGAATTCAATTTTACTATGAAAACAATTTATTAAATTGAAACTTTACTAGGGTTATTCAATGTACATTTTCTATTTATCTAATTTAATGGAATAAATCACTTCGCATGAAATCACTAAGAGCGTGTGTACCTGAAACTAAACCATCGCACAACTGTTTAGTCTAGCTTTGATTCCTATGAGTTTATATGGAGGTGCGCGCACACTGCTCGATTTCAAGTTGTGCAAATAAACAGATGAATTGGCTGCGAAACAATCGACAATCGCACAACAGTTGTGCGATAGTTTAGTTAAAGATGCTCCGCTCTAAATCTGCATGAATCACAGATAGTTTAAAATATAGACTAGACTGAATTGCGTCATTGCTACCAAAATTTGTAAATCAAAATGTAGTACCAAAGCAATGTGTTAGGTTGAAATGTAATAAAATTTGCATAGTTTTTAAAGTTTCTCGAAACATTTAAGACGAAGATATCGCATAGAACACGATGATCGACTTCACGCAGTATGATGCGTGGGAGCTGGAGGTAACATTCAAAAACGAAGTAATAACCCCCTTTTTTTTGGAAGCCGTAAAAATAGGTTAGGCAGTAGCACACTTTGTGCTATTGTTTTACATGTAATTTGTTGAACCTCATGTCCTGAACAAGAATATAAATCTCCTGGCCTAGGGCAAAACAACCAGCTTCTATATTACTTTATTCTTAGAGAGTAGACAAAGCAATTGGTTCCATGTTATTTCGCAATATGTTAATTAAAACCATCACGTTTTAGTATTTCCGGTGAGGCCATAAAAGCTTTAGTAACAAAAGGTAGAGGTTAAATTAGAACAGATTTTTAAAGTAACTATTTAATATTAAGATAATGATTTTAATCAAAGCTGATAACTAACTCAATAATAGTATGCAATGTATACAAACAGGGTGATATTCCCAATGAAAGAAGACAGAAAAGCGTCGGAGTAAATTACTTATTTTCGCTTAATTTGATCGGATTCTTTTTCCCCCGAGCATGGTCGATATCGGACGAGATATCCCCGCAGGTCCTTCAATAAAGTAATTTCCTTTCGGAGCGACTCAGATTTATTAACTTAAGAATTGTATCAAATATCAGAAAACTAGCTTAACAAAAGAATATCGTTGCTACGTATTACGTCTATCATTATCTGTTCTTTGTAAAATGGATTTTACAAAACTATTGTTGCATGTTTTTATTTGTGAAATTGTAAGCATACATAAAATTTCGTTTTACTTTGTGTTTCACGAATCTATTGAATTGCAGGCGGTAAATGGCCGTAACAGTTACCGTTTCGTGCAACCAGTGCAACTGGGCCGCGCTACTTAGCACTACCAACTAGTAGCCATTTCTCTCATATATTTGCATTGAAAGAAATTTGAATGAGTTATAAATAAAAATATAAAAGATTTCATTTAAATATACACTTTCTGTAGCCTATTAAGCCAAAGAAAGAGAGTTAATTCAGATATGACGGTTAAAACTAGTGCGTACTCTGCCGACCCATCAGACAAAAAAAGCAGTAACATAACTATTTATCCTGAATCATCGCCAAGAAAAGTTATAAACCGGTCACTCATGTCGTAGTAACAAATTGATCTATTACTAGGCTCATTTTTCATCAGAGATTTTACAGAGTAACGTAACAGGTGGTAAGCCCGTTGCAATTTTAGTCATCGAGCCAACAAATATTTTATTTTACGACACACGTTTAATGTTATTGGCATAGCCCCATCCCGTATGCACTCCGATCACAAAGTAAAAGCGAATACAGCACTTAACAAAATTTATAAGACTTTACACTCAATCGGTTATGCATTACATAAATGCTATTTGTAAGACTTACCTATAAGATTTACCGCATTAACAATTTAAATACTTTAAATCAAAAATATGTAAAGAAATGGTTCTAATTTGATGCTTAAAATAACTTTACTGTATGTATTGTCGTCTGTATATAAAGTGTTAAAACAAGACGTACCAAAGTTTTCATGAGCGCGGAGAGTTCCTTGGTGACGACCGCAAACTTGAAGAATGCGGCTCCGATGTCGGGCTCCGAGTCCTTGCTGAGCGCGTTACCACCCAGCCGCTCCAGAGCCCGCGATAGGTACATCTCATTGTCCACGTGAGCTACAGACAGATATAAACTTATTAAAAAAATGCGCTTTTATCTCTGTAACTAAATCTCAAATACATTTAAGAAATACATGGACTAGACAAGTGAACAAAATTTTTTCACCGGTATTTTCTTTCTTAGTTGTCAGGTTTAGTACGCCATCTCGTGTCTTTGTATTGACATGTAATAACACGTTTTACAAAATTATAATAAGCTTCCATATTTTGTTTTAAAATAAACTAAACAAAATAAAATATAAACATTTAAAAATTATTCACATTGACATGTGGTTTTGAGGATCTATCAATAGACATCATGCATCATCATAGAAAAATATCTCAAGTGATGTGTCCACTATGCCTACTCTACATATTTTTTTAATCCCCTTCATCCCTGTAATTAAATCTCTATTCGCAGACCACTGAAGCTTATAAAACCTTCGTCGTTCAGTTCACTTTATCTCGAAAACCCTGTAATATTACTTTAACGTGGACAGCTATAATTCACGTCGCCGGGGGAAGTTCTCAGCTCGAGTTCCCCAACTGTTGCAGTTGCGAGACGTTTTGTCCGGGCGCCGTCAGACGGACGTTTAATTAGTTACCCGCTTGAATTAACTCACTTGCTTCAGAAGCACCACCTACTCGTCACCGTCCACTTTCAGTATTTTTAAAGAAAACTCAATTTATTGCTAACTTATGTACATTATATAAACTAAATAATATTTAAATAATAGTGTGCTACTTTCACGTATTAATTAGTCGAGTGTCACCAACTACGGGCGGTAGGGGGGCAACGGCCACCTTTAAATAGCAATAAAAACCAAATAAGACCATTATAATTGTGACTGCCCCCCTCGACGTAGCCTAGATCATGGGCTGCCGATTTCCATGGTACTTCCCATAAAAATTTCCCGTATTCCATGCTATGAAAAATAAAGTGTTGCTTATTTCCTTCGCAATTTCCTTCATCTCACTTCCTATTGACACGAACTGATGTACGGTATATCCGGATGGAAATGAGTATTCCTGGAGAGGTATTCCGGTAGAATGTATCGACAAATATCCTTGACATAAGTATCCAAGATCAAAGTCAAGGTCATAGTTGAGAACTCGAAAATAAAAGGCAACTTTGAATGCTTCATTCCTCATTTATTCTACTATTTTTTACTAGCTTTCGCCCTCGACTCCGTTCGCGTGGAATTAAAAAAAAAGTAAGTAGCCTATGTGTTCTTTCAGACTGTTCTCATACATATACACCAAATTTCATCGGAATCCGTTCAGCCGTTTAGGCTACAAACTCTAAGAAACATCCATCCATCAAATATTACGCATTTATAATATTGAAGTATGATGACGATAATCTTAATTATTGTAAAATTATATTTGTTAAAATAACTTAGTTACAAGTCTTGAAAATCATGATCCCTTAGTATCTTAATAAAGATATTTTTGCTTCATTGGGAACAACTTCATGGCCGAATTAATTATCGTGTCGTGTGTTTACGTTGAAAATTATAATTCATGGAAAATTCTCTACGAGACGATATTTAGATACAGTTTTAGAATACCACACTATACTAATAAAAATCTCATCTGTCCAAATGAGTTACTAAGAACTCTTAAAACACCTCATTAGGCGGATGAGTTGAAAATATTCCCAGGATATTTTAGTTAACATAGGCGATGAGATGAGGACATTTGTATTTAGTTTGTAACGCAGTGATCCGCGTCGCGGCCCACATTCGCCCCGCTCAATCCCGCGCACGCCCCATGAATATCAAATCGCTGGCGAGCGTTGCGCCTTTCAATTTCCCCGCAAGGCTAGTATTTATCGTTCATTGAATGAATGACTCCGTCCACTTGGCCCTTTCATCAAATTAATTGGAGCGACGTAAGAGAGTTATGAGTTGACCGAGTAATCAGTCATTTATATTCAGTCGAGAACGAAAAAAAAATATGCGGCTAGATGACGAATTCCTTTTTGTAATATATCTTAAGTAAATACATACTTAATAACCAAATGTGCAAAAAAATTTACTAAACAAAAAAATAAGCATTTAGTCATATAAAAGGACATCGAAGTTACTTAACTTACGTATTATTTAGTCATGTTTCGATATGACAGGATAATATTGCACAATGTTAACATTTTCTTTCCTTTGTCTCACATTTCCATAATTGTGTGTGACACAAATTTGAATCCGTAGTGAAGTTCCTTTATTGTTGCTTCCAGTAATCAGCGGTGGTTTTACATTACCATTTTACCGTTTTACAAGTAACAATACTACAGGATTCGTATTGCAAACTGCAGTCATGAACCTACGTAATCAACTAAATATTTGACTCAAGTAAATGTCAAGCTTCGTGTCTTTACTGCGGTTAACGTAAACAAAGAACATACACATACTTATATTGTTTTTTGGATAAAAAAAGGTAAGATCTTTTACCACTGGATATCTGTATTGGATAGCCGTCCATAGGGACGCGTTAAAAGTAAAATGAATAAGTTACGTATGTAATTATCCAGTATATTACAGATACTGAGTGAAAGGTAAGGAAGTATGTAACTTGACTTGTGTTGAAAACTTTTAGGCGCTTTGCCATCCCACGTAAGTCGTACTTCAGTAGTTCATCAATCAGATTAAATTCTTTTTTCTTCGTTAAAGGTAAATATTTCGTTCTTTAATGCAACTGCTACAGATGTGCTCGATGTTGATCACTGTAAAGGCATTTGAACATTAACCTAGGGCCTAGTTCTTCAAAAGCTTTCAAAAACAATATTTACATTACGAGTAAACTACATCACTAGAGTGGAATGTCCGTGGCGCGTGTTTGGTTGTTTTTGCAGCAACTCGGCGCGCGCGAGTCGACCTTGCCGGCCGCACCGGCGCGACCAGTCCCGCCCGGCCCCGGTAAACAAACCTACGCTCCTCGAACCGAAGTCAATAAACCTGCCAGCGGGCTCTTGCTCCAAACAAAAATAATAAACACAATTATTTATTGCATTTATCTCCTTTACATGTGCGATTCGACATCGCTTACGTCCGCTAGGAAGATAAGACGGGAAATGATTATTTTTCGCGATAAGATTGCTTGCTTGTGAGTGCAGACACAGTTACATTTTGGAACTTATAATTATCTTTGTTTACACGGATAAAAATTGTTATTCAATACTGGTCAAATCTTAAGAAAGGAGTAATGTTCAGGTTTTTTTTTTCAATTATTGTTAATGGGGAACTTATATGCTTTTCCTGTTATGTGTAAGTATTTATTGTGTGGTTACTTCACGTATTGTGATAATTACCTTGCTTTGTCGGTTTACTCCTTTTCTTACAAAAACAACACGATCGGATATCATGGTATCAATATCGTCATAGCATATTTGAACGATTGCTTCATATTTACATTTCCCAGATTGAATTACGTACAAGCGTATAGGCTCCACGTACTAAATATTAATCATGCCTTGTTAATTTATCAAATAGCAATAAACTTATTATAGCTTTATGATATTTCAATATTACAATTGATTTCAAAATTATTAATTAATCAGGTTATCGATACAACCATTCTAAACTTTAAAGTGGACGAAAACTAAATAGAATATTTTGTTAATCTGAGTCTGAGGCCGACTAAAAGGTAAAATATAACCTCATTTTCGAAATAGCTGTGAGATAGCAGGTGCGATACGGCTCGAGCTAAGCTAGACAATCCGTACGAGTATTACGTTGCGCGAGGTAACCAAACACCGACCCACTTTCCATCAGCTACGAAGGGAAATTCAGTCGCCCACCGCTAGCCTGTCCGGCTCAACCGCGATATAACTTTCGGAACTTCAATTTGAAACGTTCCGGAATTTTCATTCCCCAGTGCCCGCAAATTAAAAAAGGTTTTTGTTTTGGTTTTAAACCTGAGCTGTTCTATGCTTTATTTTTCGTAGTTTCGATTTATGAACTACTTCTAGTGAATAGTTTAGACAGACAATGAATGTTAGTTTTGACATACCCACATTTTTTAATAATGTATTTCATATATATATCACGAAGCCCAAAAACCCTAATGATTAAGAAGTAATCACTATATAAAATAAATCTAAAGTTCTTCGCATGTTAGTGGAGAAAACTAGGTATCCAATTAGAGCTAACAAGGAATTCCTTATTCGAGAGAAACTTAAGAGGACAGCGCAAAAGAAACACGAGATACTTTATTCAATATACATTATTTGCTTACTTTCCTTCTTCCTCGTAGCAAAAAGAATTTAATCAAGACTGTTGAAATTGTATCTTTTAAGAAAAGCAATTTAAATTTGTTTATATGATATTTTACGACTAAGTAAACACCATACCTTCATATAACAAGCTCGGTTCTCGTTCATTCACCGAAAGTTGACGCCGATCGATAAAATGTTTATTTGAGCGGTAAAACAACATGATACAGTGCGGCGTCGCGATTTAATCGGAAAGACGTTCGAAAGTAGAAGGCTACGAATCGAGAAATTGCATTTTATCACCCGCCTTATTCGGTACAAGCACATCAACGAGTATATTACTTTTTGTTTGTAAACTTGTATAGAAAGCTGCGAAACCACTGTCGTTGCGAACGATTTCGATGCTTTGTCATTCATCAACACAAAGCATTCGTTACGCGGCTTTGTCAGCCTTAGCTGTTTGCGGGAAGTACTTTAAACTTTAGATACTTAAGGCTAATGTAGAGCCTATGTTACTGTTACCTTACTAATATTGTAAATGCAAAAGTTTAGATGGATGTTTGTTAGAGTTTGTAGCCTAAACGGCTGAACAGATCTGGATGAAATTTGACATAGATGTAGTGTAGAGGATAGTCTGGAAGACTTTCGTTTTTTTTTCAATTATACGGGGACGGCATCGCAGGCGAAAGCTATTGTATTCTAATTTTATGTCCAGCTTATCTTACTTTACCGAGTTGCTAAGGTTTTTACGTTGACATCCTTGGTAACTAAATTTATTAAATTATATTAGTCGAAAAGTTTAGAGCAACGATTCGAATTAACTGAAGAAATTTACTCAGAAGCATCACACTACAGCAATATGATGTCATTTCATTCGATAAGATAAAAAGTACATATATGTTCAATGAAGCGTTAGTGTTGCATAATTAAAAGATATCGACGCGTAAGGCGCTGCAGTGGGCTATGGCAGCAAGTCTAGTCCCACTATTGTTGCGATATCCAGGTCATTCTAGTTCAGTGGTCGAACGGCCTTTTGACAACCGGTTACACAAATAGAATGAGGATTTTATATGGATCAAGTTACATGCACGTATTATGCCCTTTATTGAATGTGGAAGATAAAATATTTTAGGATTTAGAATGAAATTTTGTTTATTACAAATTACGTTTATAACAAAATATTTTAGTTATTAAGTTTATCTTACCCAATTCAAGATGCAAAGAAGTCAAACACGCTTGATTTTCTGTAATTCATATTAAAATACTACAAACACCGATATTAAAAAAAATAATACGGTTATTAAACTTTGCACATTTGTGCATATATTCACAAGTTGGCGCTATACTTGCGCGGTTCAAGTAAAGATATCGAAATAAAAATACTAAGATTATTTCGACCGGTTTCTAAAACACGACTATACCTGCTCAAAGCAAATAATTAGAAATAGGGACCGATGAAAAGAACAATTTGACTCAGATCTGTTCAAGAGTATTAAGACACTATCCACCTTTCGGAATTTAGACGATTGACTAGTTACAGGTATACAAAACATTTTTGTTTTGATTTTAATTTTATCTTGATTTGAATCCTAATCGACTGCTACCAGAGTCAAATTAATAATCATAAGTCATCTGCATTAAAAGAGATTTAATATTCTCCATATTTCATGAATCATAATCAACTAGGTAGCCAGAGAAAAGCCCTTTACAGTAAGATTAAAATCAATAAATCGCTCATCGTTTCCGCAGCGTCGGCGCTCAGCCGCTACTAAGTGCATCGAACGATCCAACTATTTTCAGTGGCGTCTATTCATAAACACTTCCTTCGGCCCTATTTATAGGAGTCTTATGTCGTCTGGATACCTCGGAAGAGGGAACGCGGCAACGTACAGCATACACGTCGGACGACAGAAAGGTATGTAAGAATGCCTCGAAATAGCGCTACGGGGAAAGGGAGTTGCATTCAAAGTTGTCAGTTTTTAAAAGAAACTAATAGGGGATTGTACTATTAACTGCTGAAAGGATTTCGTTTTAATATTTATTTAACTAGTAGATTTAATTAAAGTATAAGTTTTATATTAAGATGCACTGATGATCAATTGGTCTTTAGGCAAGTTAAAAATTTATCGTTTGAATGTTTATCTCATTACCTTCATGATAGACGGAATAGCAGTTGTTAATGTCTTTAACACTCTCGTAATTTATGACCATATGGTGTTTCTTTTAATTATCTCGTACAATAAAAACACTGTGTAATAAATGGATGAAATATGTATGTGGTGATTTTTAATCTAGAGTACATAATTTTTTTTATTCTTACCATTTCCAGAATTGTGTATTGCTTTTATTGCCTTCTTTAATTTTGTTAGTCCTTCCCGATCGAAATCCAAGGTCTGTAACAAATATACGAATATAAGTTATTATAAATAAAACATCACATATTATAATGATCAGTGTTATAATATTTAGTAAATATTTGTTAAATAAATTGACATCTAAGTTTCAAATTATCTATTGATTCGTAACCAGAGGGGAAGGTTCAAAAAGAAATATTCCATCCACGGCTAGCTATACTATGTGATCGTACTTTTTAGCGGTCAATCTTTACAAACGTTACTTCACAATGGGAGCCACGAGCCATTCAAGAGCTCTCGAACATCTGTCGCCCCAGCCGGCGATTCGTTCAAGTCCCCTCGTGTTATTGCACAACGTCATAAAATGAGTACCATAGTATACATATGCATAACACTTTAAATGTGATAAATTAAATACAAATTATTATTTTAAACGATGATTTGCATTGAATGTAGAGTGATTATCCTTATGCCAAGACCGCTCGCAGGATCAAACATACGGAACTGATATTAAATAACCAAGACAAACCATGCTACAGACTTAAGGCTCTAACAGTAAGTACCACTAGATTTAGGTCAATCTATATTTCCCATTGGATGTTTACGTTTTTTTTAGAATTCATTTTACTATAGTCCTAGTATTTAATTGATTCAGCGTTTATCAATAGCACTGCTCCTATTTTTTAACCTTTCAAACAGTAACAATTTCACGGTTCGAATTGTACACGGACATTACAAAATGTATATGAATATTCATGACGTGCGCCGTAAATGTGCAACTAGGAGTCGTCTAATGAATAGTTCACGCGTGCTAGAAAGAAGGTCCACTCTGTAAAGGGGTCAGCAGCGCTGGACGGGTTCGCGTTTGCTTTTTATTGCGCCCATTGTTTTTAATGACCACTTCGTCCCGAGCATTGCGTTTCAATTGCCGGTGCGGCCTTCTTTACTTTGCATCTGAATTGTTTTAAACACTTATTGTTATTTACTTTGAAATTAAACTTATGAGTAAGTACATGTTTTTATACCCAATAAAGTTTATGGTTCTTTACATGTACCTTTAGGTTTTCATCCTCTTTAACGCTATTGGTTTTTGTTCTTTATTTTGGGTTGTTCGACAATGTAAGGAGTTTGTGCATATTAAATTTCATATATTAAACAAAATAATCTGCTAAAAGAATACTTTCGTCGTCACTACACAATACGATGTCAATAAAAAAATGGATTTGTCAGAAAACCAGCGAAGCGTTTCGAAAAAAATTGAATAAAACCGCAAAACGGATAGCCTGTGCAGCAAATTACCTTGTCATCCACACCCGACCATTTCGGATAGCAAAAAAATCGTTTGTAGGGTACAGTTCGATGAATGGTTCGATGGTTCAAACTGAAGATAATCATGAACATACATACGTAATAGTTTTTTTAATGATAAAGACAGTAGTAACAATAAAATATTATCGACTACTAGCTGTTGCCCGCGACTTTGTAAACGCAATATTAAGATAAAAAGCCTATAATATGCCCGTCTATGTCAGTTACCCTTCAGTGAAAGTACGGTCGAAATGGGTCCTGCCGTTTGCAAGATTACCCGGAGCAAACGCGACTTGACAGGATAGACAAACAGACAGATAGGCGGACAAACAACAAAATTTTAAATGCGATTTTCGGTATCAGGAACGCAAATACATCTTCTTCCCGAAATCTGGAATTTTTCTTTTGATATTACAAACAGACACTGCAATTTCATTATATGTATAGAAGATGTCTGTGCATAGAACACGTAAAGGGATTTATTATTGTTTAGTAAACGTTACTGCATTTCCTCATAACCTGAGCATACTCATCTCGAATATAGTTTCAGTTTAATGACATCTGCTATCTCGTCCCGCATCATATTCATACAGGAAAGTGTGTCATGCATCACTGATATAACTTTAAATGACTCTGAACCCACTTATATTTTAACGAGTACGATACTAGCAGTAATTTCATACTAAAACTTAATAGTTTATACTACAACTAGCTGTTCTCATGCGGCTTCATCTGCGTGAAATTATAAAAACCTTATTTTAATATTTACATGTGTCAAAATTAGTATAGAAGTATAGATATAGATAGATATGCATATTATACTCTTTTTCTTATTAATATTATAAATGCGAAAGTTTAGACGGATAGATGTTTTTTAGAGTTTGCAGCCTAAACGGCTGAACGGATCTCGATAAAATTGCCATCGATGTAGAACATATATGCTGCTTTTGTTTTTTTTTAATAAACGCAGACCGTGTCTCGGGCAAAAGCTTGTCTATGTATATTTGTGATGTTCGAATAGACTCGTTTGAGTGTGACGCATCGTTAAATTTCTCAATGCATTGAGGTGAGTCAAATCGGAAGTTTAAATAAGAACTGGAAACCAGTTTTCATAACTTTAGATTGAGTTTATATCTACATAGAGATCGTTAGAATTTTCTGAATTGTAAATACTAGCGGAGTAGCGATATTTTCTTCTAAGAAAAAGTACGATTTTGGGTAAAATACCATTAGGGTAGATCAAGTGCGATAAAATACAAAGAAAACTGATTATAACTTAAATTTAAAAAAGATTATACTGTTAAACAGTTTAATTCCTGATATTATCAGTGCATCCGTTTACATGACAAGAAACAATTTTAAAATTACTCCAAAAGCATGTGAGTAACTTCCGCTGCTAAAGGATGTAAAAAGATTAATTACTTATACAGATAGATAGTTTATATTTACTATATACGTACATATGCAACGATGGTACAAAAGTGGTGCTGGAAGCTTCGTGCAGATCGCTAGATAGGGAAAGCGGTTGGCCTTGTAACGAAACATGGCAAACAAACGTTGAAGCCATTTTACGATTGAGCGTCGTAATTATTGTAAATGGAAACTTTTTATTGAATACGTTAAAATTATTTTAAACTCTTATACAGCTAGTCTACAGAATAATCCAGAATAGATTAAAACATTCACAAAAAAAAAAAATCATTAATTAATACCTATCTAAAAGACGATGCACGATACTCCATAAACTTAGATTTAAGGCAGGCGCACACCTTTGACTAAACTATCGCACAAGTGTTGTACTATTGTCGGTTGTTTCGCAGCCAATTCAACTGTAGTTGTTATAGTGTGCGCACCTCCATATAAGCACATAATAGGAATCAAAGCATGACTAAACAGTTGTGCCATAGTTTAGTTTCAGGTATGCGCACGCTCTTAGATTGCACAATTTTTAGAACCCTATCCACGAAGCTTCATATTGAAATATAAGTCGACAGCCCTTACACTAAACCAGGCGTGGCTAATTACATTAATATCCGTCAATTCATCCCTCGGCGATAAACAACTTCCTTAATCATTTTATTGAGGAAGAACACATAAACACGCCTTAATTTTTTCTAACAAATATCGTAAGTAGAAAGTGACGAAACTGGTATGTTATAACCGGGTCAGAGAAATGCTAATGAGATCAATCGGTACGAGTGTCAGCTGAGCACGGTGCCATTACTACGTCATTGTTTATGTTTTTTACATCCTTCCTGGTACTATAAGCACATCAAAGCTAAGTTTAAAACTTTGTAACACATATTGAACAACATTGTTACACCTCACTGTTGTTTTTTTAAACGCTGCGGATTTGCATCGAGCGTTATGGCTTTTCTACAGACTTGAAAAACTATTTCAATAAATATTTTTCTTCCACTTTTGAAATATTTATTGATGTTAATTGAATCATTGTTAGAGAAATATGGGGTCAATAACAACATAAAGTATGGTCATTGACCTCAATTATAAAGTTATCACGCGATCATTAATACTATGGACGTTCTGTTTCTATAATTGCTTTAGCTATCCAATTTAATTAAAATAGACGAAATGTCGTTTTATTTGTTTTTACATCACAGTACGTTGTATCCATATTATATGTAAATAAATATGTTAAAAACAGTCTCTTTCGCCATATCTCTACAACTGACCAACGTATACTCCATCCTACATTATTAAAAGAGAAAGTTCATTAAAAAAAAACATGTATGCCATGATACTCGTAAGTATAGGTGACTCGAGTAAAAGTCGTTAAGTGTACTTACTTTCGCTTTATAACTCAAGATAAACTAAGAGCCTTCGGTTTTTTGCTTACCGATTATTTTTAAACAAATATAATAAATGAAGGAAAATACATAGACATTAAGATAAAAACGAATACAGTCAAAACTCTGCATTCGCATGGGTTAAGTTCCGAAAATTTGCTGCAGCTCGCGGTACCGCTATCAAACATCTCGACGTAAATACAAAATTTGCCTGTAATGTGTAATAATACCACGACTCCTAAAGCGCGGATAACGGGATGGAGAATAAGGATATTTGACTATAATATTACTCTGCAAAATTGGTCAACCCGTTTAAACTTCACGATGATTAAAACTAAAGGATTCTTTTTACATCAGTCGGGTAACATGAAAATGAACAGTACTAATGTCTTTCCATAATTTTGATTAAAATTGAATAATAACAAGAAACGGGTACACAATGTCAAGTCAAGGACAACTAAAAATTAAATTAACTAAAACAAACTTCATATCAAAATAGTTTGCGTTTCTCAGCTTATTTATGGAAAACGTAAACGACGACTTTATTTAACAAATAGGTCCCAAGTAACTTATCCAGAATATGGACATTGTGAACCAGGACTTAAGCGAACTCTGGTGTTTTTAATATAAAATCGACGCTTAGATTACACATTTAAAGTGCTTCATTATAGAAAAGGGCATCGATAAATATTCCGCCTCGATAGCACCCCGCGCGATAATTTGTTGGCCACTTGAGCACGTCGCCATAAATAATAGCCCGACGATACGAAACCCAATACTTTTTAAAGCAGCAAGAAATAAATATACGAAAACTCGCGATAGTAACCCGTACTTTAGGAGTACTCGCATTTTACAATCTAGGCTTGAGATCGTAATCAAAGGCAAACAGCACAAGAGTAAAACCATCCTTACACATAACTAAGGGAAAGGTTAACGATAATTGTTAAGGTATTCATAAAAATAGTCTAATTGATTCGATATATGTATTTATTTTAACCCAGTCTACATTGTTTTAAGTCGTCAGTTATCTATGTTATTCTCTAGTCGTATTTAAGGATGCAGCCGACACCGCGTTGTGACAACCGATGAACGTGTTGACAATGACACGGTGACTCATCGTGTTGTTGACCGGAGGCCGCGCTTTGAACAATCAGGGAAGCATAGTGGTTGCCATAACCACAAACCATATTTTTATTTTTAAAAAAGAATTGATAATCAATGTTAGAAATTCAGTATCTGCTATAGGTCAAAAAGTGATGATTTTTGAGTACTACACATGTATAACATAGATATATAGGTTCTTATTGTTAACTGTAGCCATATATCTTGGATAATTTATAAGAGTAACCATTCAATAACTTTAATAGTCATTTTTATTTCTAATCTTGTTTTAATAAATATTGCAGTATAGCTCTCATCATCTCCTCTCATCATCCTGCCTTATCCTACTCCCGTAGGGTCGGCGCAACGAGTTTTCGTCCTCAATATTCAAAGCACATTTTTTTAATTTCATATTTAAAATTCACTTGAAACTAACTGTTGCCCTCGACTTCGTCCATGAAATATTAAGATAAAGTAGCCTATAATCTATATCAGCCACCCTTCTGGGAAAATCCGGTTGAAATTGGTCCAGCCATTTCAGAGATTATCCGAGACAAATGTGGCTTGCAGACAGACAGACACAGACACAAAAATTTTAAATGCCTATTTCAAATATGCAAATACATCATCTCAAAACCTGGAATTTTACTTTTGATATTAAACAGACATTTAAATTTTATTACATGCATAGATAGATGTAGATATTTATTCCCTCCATTTACAATATAAGTTATTTGTACAAAATATTCACAATGATCTAAATCATAACAATTTAAATGATTTTATCCTCATTAAAAGAATAGAATAGTTGCTGTGTTTAGAAATAACTTGCATAGAAACTGTAGACCCTCCTACTACATAACTTGCATTCATAAAATGCACAAGAAACATAACAAATAGTAGTTTAGACATGCCAAATCTTACTAGCTATTCCACCAATATAAACATATTCGGAATTTCCTTATTTTGTTGTAATTAAAAAGGATAATAATGTTGTTCCCACTTGCAAATTATTTAAAGAAATAAATTAAAATTACAACAAAACTATAACTTAGTAAAAGTTGTAGTTCACACAAATATCTAAAAATTATGTCATTTTATTTTTTCTCTGTAATAGGTTTTTGAGATTCTGTAATTCAAAAATACTGTCTAATGTTCTCATTATATGAGCCATTTTTTTACTACAAACTTACCAAATATTTTACATTAATGCTAAACAATATTTTATAGTCATCTTTAAAAATTATACTTCTTAATGTATATGTATGTAATGGTAATAAAAAAATTTGTAATGAGATAATTGAAATTGTATGAAAAATAAATATGAAAATAAATAATTTTTCATATCAATATTGATATAAAAAATGAATATTTTTCATATCAGTATTAGTTTCATATCAGTCAGTCAATAGACTGGAATTGAACGGTTTCTTTTTTTTAAATACTATCTTTACTTTTATAATACATATAACTAAACGATTTTTGTAAATCTTGGACAATTTCGAAGAGGAAAAGACTATCCTTTTCGAATGACTACAACTTAAATCTTTTTGTGGTTTACTAAACGTTTGGATATCTATACTATATATTATATTAATATTATGAAGAGAAAAGATTTGTATTATTGCATGTATTGAAATAACTCAATACTACTGGGCTGATTTTAAAAATTCTTTTACAGTTACAAATTTATCTGTGAGTAACATAGGCTGTGCTTAGTAATGTTTTTTTTTTTAATTTTACGCACGCAAAGTTGCGAGCAACAGCTAGTCAAAATATATATAGAAACCTATTGTTGCGACTATTTTTTAATGAATTGAATTATACTTACTTCTTCCAGTGCGTTGATAGTCTGTCGACATTGTGGCATTCGCGACACAAATGTAGAAGTGGTTGGCGAACTGTAATCTTCTCGGGTTTCCTCAATAAATTCACCGATACCAATAAGACCCGGCATGATGATCACAATCGCACAAGACCACACAAATCAAAGTCCAACTTTTCACATTCGCACTCAATATTTATACACTTAATTTAGTAAACAAACCAAAGACATAAATCGAAGACATCGTAGAAGATTGATCACATCTACACGAATAAAAACAATTTTGAAAACACAATTCCGCCTAAACACACCCGTCCAAAAAACCATGAATGAAACAACTGCTGCTGAACGAACGAATGAATATTGTGTGACAGAATCAGAATGCTTTTGAAATGAATGAACGAAAACAGTGTTGCTAGATTATTATTATTTAGATTATTTCATGCACTAAACTCTAAGTATAGACTTGGTACATGGTCCATACACTTCTAAGTATTAATATTTATACCTCCTCAACACCTATCTACAAACTGTCAGCGCCTAAATGGGGATAGTCAAATAAGCACAAGATATCCTTGTATGTAGCTGTCCAAAAGAGTGGAGATTCCTAAAGTGTTGCCTTTAAATCATATTCACCTAGCATAGTCCTAGTTCTAAAGAACAAAACAAACATACGTACAGACGAATTGAGTACATCTTTTTTTTGGGAAATCGGTCAAAAATACTAAATAAGTAATTATTTTTGGGTATTTACATGGCTAATTTTCTCAAAATACAAGTTATAAAATGTAATTCACGAGTTCACGACGTACTTTTCCTACACACCTCTACCTTCTATGGTTTTTCTTTTAGGTATTGCCATTTTTTAAGATTAGAATTTATTTAGAGCCAGTGCAAAAACAAAATAAAGATGTCGGAGCTGTCACGAGGTACGTGTCTATTATTTATCTTTTTTGTCAATTGTAATTCATGAACATTGTAATCCGAAATTAGTTTCATGTAATATTTTATCGTTAAAAAGGTAAAAAGATTCAAACAGTACTTTACATTATAAATTAAATTTATGCTTTTGAATGTCATTTGCATGTACATAATTTCTTATATCTATTCATGTTTTAAGATAATGAAGGATAATTCCTTTCTTTTAATACTTAATCTAAATTATTTACAACAGAAATTGGAGAAATCTGGACTCGTTTGTTTGACCATCGCCCGTTTTTGAATGGTGAAATCAGTTTTATGTTGAAGGAGTTTGAGGTAAATTATTGTTTACTACAATATAAGAACATTTATATTATTCAAATGTAACATTTGCTATAGAAAAAAAGCTAAATAGTTATATCATTTTACCTTTTATTACAATTTAAACTTTAAATCAAGTTTTTGACAAGAAAATTAAATATTAAAAAAAATTACACAGGAAAAACGCGGAGATCGTGACGTTGAAAGTCTATTTTCTATGTTGGAGAACTTTACTGATGTCAGAGATACTCATATAGAAAAACTTGCCAAAACTGGTGGACTTGTTCTCCCTTTGTTGCTACAAAAAATTGGGCAAACTAGAGAGTTAGCTGCTGAAGCTGAAAAAACTTGTATTGACTTGGATGTGGTAAGGTTTTAGACATGCTTTTTACTGTATTTTTTTTGCTTATAATAGAAAATTATAATATTTTTCAGGTATATAAACAAAAACAAGCTGAAAATCGTGAGAAAAGACGAAAGGAATGGGATCGTTTCATAGATGATATGAATTTTAATTGTCAAAGGATTGATAATACATTTGAAGAAAAAGAAGAAGAACTTCGTGACTTATACACAGATTTGAATCATAAATTAAACATTAACAGCAGTAAATAAGTATTAATCATGGATCTTAAAGGTTCCCTGGTTGATACAAACATCAAAATACTTCCTTCAGAAGCACTAAGTAATTTCATTAAAAATATATCCAGTGATGATGTTCCTAGTAACATTTTAAAAATCAAAAAAAATGATGTCAAAATAGAATCTAAAACCACTTATGAAGTGAAACAGGTCAGCTTTAAGAACAAAGATATAGAAAACATAACTAAAATCAAGGAAACCATTAGTAAAGTTTATGAATCCAACAATACTGATACAGATGAAATTAAAGATACATTAATTTCTAAAGAAGACAAAGAGGATTTGGAAAAAGAGAGTAAAAGAGATTTAGAAGTAAAGGAGTTCCAAGATGAGGATAAGAAAAATAAAGTTTTCTTAAACACTTCCGATATGGATTGGATGTATAATTACATTAATAAATTAAGAGAAGAGGGAAAAGATGTACCTTATTTACATGTTCTGTTTGAAGGATCCCAAATTGAATTACCTGAGAATGGTATTGTAAAACGAAATCCTGATTTAGAAGCCAGATGTGTAAAACTCAGAGCTCAAATGGAAGCTAGAGAGTATCGTAAAATGACAAAAAGTGTTGATAATGTTAGGATGCGGTTTCCAGAGGACAGTATAAGCTATCAAAGTAAGTTTTGTTAAGAATGTTAATGTAAGGATCCACATGTAACTTCTATTGGTGTAATCAATAATTTCCTGGTGTTGTCATGGCCTGATATTGAAATAAATTGTAAACACGTCACTTTGTAAGTGTCATTTTCATTCTGAAGGATGTCAAACCGTCAAAAGAATTTGCAGTTTAACCGTAGCATATTTTTAAATTTATTGTTTTTTTTACATATTTAAATGTCTCAAAATCAGTTTCTTTGAAACCATAGTTTTACTACATGTAAACATTTTTTCTTTATTTCAGTGAAACAATTAAATCGTCAACTAATTGCAATTG